CCTATTCTATAATCCTCAGGCTCCCTCTGAATGCAGCTGCATAAAACTAGAATGAGTTTTGTCAATGGCTAAAAATGCCACTTTAGCCATCTTCTCCTCAATCCCAACCATGCTAAAGTTGTCTTAACTCTGTACATAATAAAAACTGCATTATTTGTTGGCATCATTCATGTGAGAAGATAGGGGTCACTATGAGTAACAAAAGTTATAACTGATTTTTGCTGTCTTAGAAATGGTAAGTAGCACTTTAACTTGGCTGTGAAAGAGAGCCTGCAGTTGGCTAATAAACCCAAAAGCTATTCCCCCACAGTGTTTACTTTCACAACAATCCTGTGTTGATTATCACTCAAGACAATGACTTCTAATGATCAACTTGTGAGTTTCATAAGCAGAGTTTGAACTTGGTCCACCCTGTCATAGTCTAGCACTTTTAATTGTTATATCCCATCTTCTGACTTACCATAAAAAACAGGATAATGAAGTGATCTGCTAGCTACTTTTTGTCTTCTTTTGATCTTCTCTGATCTTGGAAACTGAACAGGATCAGGCTTGGTTTATACTTAAATAGAAGACATAGAAAAGGAGTCCAGGATGTTAGCTAGTCTGTGAAATTGAAAAAAATCAATAGCTTCCATATTGCTATCAAGGAAATTGCATAAACTTGTCCATAAAATAACTAGAGCTCATGCTTGACTTGAGGACTTCTTTAAATTTACTTTACTGTAAATTAAGTTTATCCATCTTTTATATTCTGGAACAAGATTTCAACTGCACACATTTCCCAGAATATAATTCTACACCTCACTGTTTGTGCTAGTTTGACAATTATGCATACATCTTCTTGCCATCTGTTGTAATTATTTTTTAAACATGAACAAAAAGACAGTTATGGCACCCCCTAAGAAAATATGGATACTGTCTGGTAAGGCATTTATACAGATACTTGACAGTTTCCAGAAATGGACAGAGTGCTAAATTATTAATCTGAAGGACATTCATGTCTCCATAGAGGAATGCCATCTGTGATAATTCTGAATTTATTGAGATATTAGTTAGCTAGCTTTCTTAATCCTGTTTGCCAATCAGCAAAAGTCAGTCTATAGATTCTGTCTGACTCTTCTGGTTTCTTTTCATTCTAAGTTGTAATATTAGTTACTACACAAGGATTTATTAACCAGCTGTAATTTTGAAGTCTAATTAGTTTAAGACAAAAGTGATATTCATGACAAGTTCAGGAACAGGAATTGTTTGGCAGGGAGGCAGCATATCATCAAATTTAATTATATATAATATAATTTTAACTACTAGTAGGAAAAGGAATCCATGGAAACCTTATGGGTTGCTGAGTTGGTCATCTATATTGTACCTTGATGGTCAAGTCTGAAGCAGCCTAAGCCAAAATATAATTCTTGGTCAGTCTGCTGCATTTCTTTGTATTTACTGCCCTAGTTATTCTTCTGCCTTCTTCCCAGGAGCTGGCAACTATAAGCAGAAACATTGCTCAGTTCCTCAACATTTTAATCATTTCTACAGATCAGATGCAGAGCCTAACAAGGTACCTTGTCTTTAAATCCCTCTATTCCCTGCCCAGAGCACAGATGCACAGGGGCAAATAAAGATAATAGGAGATGCAACAATTCACATCAAGTGTTGATATTTGACCTGTTTGACCCATTGGCTGCTACATCACACTCCCTTATTTATTTGGAGTCCCCTAGCTAGGTGGCTCCAGATTCTAGTCCTAATGATGGAACTGATTTCAAATGGAAAAAGACAAGCATAACTCTTTCCATTCTTGTGTTCTTTGTATTTGTGAATACAAATAGTCCTCGACTTACAACAGTTCATTTAGTGGCTGTTTGAAGTTACAACAGCAGTGAAAAAGGTGACTTATGACCATATTTCACACTTATGACTATTGCAGTGTCCTGGGATCATGTGATCATTTTTTGTGACTTTCTGAAAAGCAAAGTCAGTGGGGAAGCCAGATTCACTTAACTGTGCTACTAATTTAACTGCAGTGATGTGGCAAGAAAGGTTGTAAAATGGGGCAAAAGTCACTTAACAAATTTCTCAATTGCCAACACAAAGTTTGGACTCAATTGTGGTTGTAAGTCAAGGACTATCTATACCTTGATTTGGCCTAAATGATGGCGAACCTTTTGGGCTTGGTTCCTAACCTGATTCTGCTGACATGTCACCGTCCCCCCCCCCAACAAAAGAGAAAAAATTCTTTACATATTCATTTATTTAAACAAATACAGTCCAATCACCTGTGTGATTCCCAGGATCTGCTGCAGACTGCTTGCCTTCAGGTGGAGCTCTCTTTCTGTTGACAGGCCCCCTGAGACCCACCTGAGGCAGTTCTGGGTTGCACAAGGTCTTGGTTTCCTGAAATGACTTTGAAGAATTCTCTTTTATGGCATCTACAGCCATGTTGCATTCTCATATGATATTTGGGGGGCCCAGAGGCCACACAAGAGCATGACCCTATTTGGAGAATGGCAGCTGCACAAGAGCACATCCCATTCTCTTGAATATCATACATAAATGGGGCATCCTTTTGACAAAGGTTGTTGGCTATTGGTGAACGCTGGCGTGTCATCCAAAACATTGTGGCATGTCATCTTGTGTCATAGGTTCACCATCACTGGTCTAAGTTGTTCCAGGCTGAGGAATTGTGTGGACTCTTTGAAATGCCCTGAAGGAAAGATCTCTGAGGTACAATACATACGACGGTACTTAAATCTATTATTGCTTAAGCCAAGCATAAAGAAAGGCTGTCTTTCCAAAAAATCTTTGCTTATGCTACATCTGTTATCTTCTGTAATAACAGCTTTTGTATTTAGTAAGCTTCATCTGAATTTTGCATCCATGTTGTCTCAACCCATTTAGGCAGAAAGGTGAATGAAAAGGCTGTCAACCCAGCTGCTTGCCTATAGCTTGTGTCTGTTTTGAAAGCATCCAAACAATCCTAAACTGCTGATAGTGGTGTACTCTATAGAAAAATATCTACTGCCAATAGTTTGTAGGGATTAGACTGCAATATTAAACCTGTCAGTTTGGCTATAATGGCATTTTGTATTGTATTTTATGCTTTGTGGGCTTGGCCTACGGCGTTATGTTTAAGAAAATACAGCACCAACTCTACACATGCACTCGAAAATATTGTAATAGGGCTTTGTGTTAGGTAATAGTTATAAGATTCATACATGCTATAAAGTTAAAGGGAACGTAGCTTGAATATACAGGTAATCCTCAATTTATGGGCAAAATTGGGGCCATATTTTTAGTTGAGAAACAATGAGGTCATTAAGTAAGTCATAACATGATCATATCAAATTTTACAACCATTTTTGCTGTGGTTAATCAAGTTACAGCAGTCATTAACTGAATCAAACAGTCATTAAGCAAATCTGGCTTCCCCAATTGACTTTGATCATCAGAAGCTAGCTAAGAAGGTTGCAGCTTACAGTCATGTGGCTGTAACATACTGCAACAGACATAAATGCAAGCTGGTTGCCAAAAGCCTGAATTGCAAGCACATGACTGCAGAAGTGATGCATGATGGTTATACCCCTAGTCAGTTTCCAGGCTGTTGTAACTTGAAACTTCATTAAACTAACACTTCCAAGTCAAGGACTACCTGTGGACACAAACAGGTAGTTAGTCCTCAGTTAATGACCGTAATTGGAACCCGAAACTACATCACTAAACAACATGGACACAAAGCAAAAAAAACCCCCAACCATTTGACTGCACCGACTTACAATGGCAGTTCCACTGCATTTGCTAAGCAAATCACATGTAGCCATTACTTTCTCCATTTAATTTGCCTGTTAGAAGCTGGCAGTGAAGGCTTCATATAGTCATAATGTGACCTCAAGATTCTGCAACCGTCATTGATGCATGCTGGTAGCCAAGTGCCTGAATTGCAATTGTGACTGCAGGGATGCTGCAATGGCCATAGCTCTGAAGACTGCCTATACATCTATTTAGTCTTAACTTCAGTCACTGATCAAGTGGTCATCAAGTGAGGACTTCTTGTATATGATTGTGGAGTGAAGACAGTAAAAATGGCTAGTGAACAATTATATTTTAAAAGTTTTAAAAGACCAAAGGCCAGCAGATTAAATCTGTAGGAATTTTCTTTGGGTTGATTTTTTTTTTTGACAAACCAAGTACGTGAAGGACTTGTAATGTTGCCTCAGTCCAAGCAGAGTAACAGTTTGCTAAATCATTAAAGAACCAGTAAAGTTTTATGGCCATATGTTTCATTTAATGAGTAATCTGGGGAGAACATTGAGAATCACTTCATTTTGATTAACCAAGTACTTAGATTTGGTAGCAGACTTTGAGTAAAATATGTAGGAAATTAACATTCTGTCCTACAGGTAGTCTTTTATTCTTTGCAATCTAATGGAACATTGGAAAGAAATTATGTAAAGAGGCTTGGGACTCTGTTCATTTGTCTGCCCAAAATAGAATAGAATGAGATCCAATCTGATGTGGAATAAGAAGCCACAAAAAGTAAGATTGAATAAGAAAATATCCTCGATGCTGCAGACTAACCCTCCCCTTCCATCCCCCCCAACCTCCCCCCAGTATATTCCTATGAGAAATTGGGGTTGAGGCTCAGAATGCTACCCACAGTCACATGATCCATAATGGAGCTGCTAGCAAGGTGTTGGAAAGAATTCCAGAAGTCATGATTTGGGGGCTTTCTCTATATAATTTTTTCTTCCAACCCAACAGTATATTGGACAGAAATTATGTGTAGAGGTCAGGAATCAGTCTGCCTGCTAACCATCAGCTGATAACTCTAAAAAAAAAAAAAAACCCAAACAGTGGAACTGGATTATATCTGTTGTGCAGAAAACCCACAGATTGAGTTAATTGTTCTTTGCAAAACTTTGAAAGACATGGTTAATCATCAGCCTTTTTTTTCTTTTTAAAGTTAAAAGGACAGAGTTCTGAAATTACTTGCTTGTTCTCAAGAAGGGAGGAGCATAAGGTCTTCAGGTTACCCTTAGTTGCTTACTCAAAAGCACCAAAAGAAAACTGAAAACATGGGGAAAGACCAAGATAACCAGGCTAAAGAAGCAAATACTGATGAAAAAAACATCCAGCTTAAAAAGACAATTGGCTATTTAGAAGGGGTTAGCTTCATAGTAGGCACAATTATAGGTGCAGGAATTTTTGTCTCCCCAACTGGAGTGCTCAAATATTCTTTACTCAATGTTGGTGTGTCTTTAATAATCTGGGCTGCTTGTGGCATCATCTCGCTGATGGGTGCTCTCTGTTATGCAGAGTTAATCACAGCACTGCCATTTTCAGGAGGGGAATTCAGTTACATAAAAAGAGCCCTGGGCTCTCCACTGGCTTTTATCTTTTTATGGACAGCCTTGTTTAATAAACCAGCTTCTAATGCTGCTCGAGCCTTGTTGTTTTCCGAATATGCCATTCAACCTTTTTATGGACAGTGCCCAGCTCCTGAGATGGCAAAGAAAAGTTTGGCATTGGCTGTTCTCTGGTTCCTTGGGATTCTCAATGGGCGAAGTGTCAAGATGGCTGCCTGGGTGCAGACTGTTTTTACCTTTCTCAAGATGATGGCTCTCTCCATTATTGCAATTGGTGGAATAGTTCTATTGATCAGAGGAAACAAAAAGAATACAGCTAGATTTGAAAATGCTTTCAGTTCAGAGATGCCAGATGCTGTGCAGATCTCAGAAGCATTTTTCCAAGGGTTGTATGCATATGGTGGCTGGTGGTCACTCAGCTACTTGGCAGGTATGTCTTCCATTTTCTATACCAAATCACTTGCTGTGCTATCAATTAAATCTTGACTACAGCTAGCCCCTGACTTACCACTCTTTATTCAATGACCATTTGAAGTTATGCTGAACAATTTGTAGTTATGGCTGATGCTTGCAGTTCTGGCTGTTCTAACATTCCTGCAGTTATGTGATTATGATCTGGGCACTTGACAGATCATATTTATGATGGTTGCAGACCCCACAGACCTGTGACTATCATTTGCGAACTTTCCTGCCAACTTCCCAGAAGATCAATTGGGAAGCCGGAGGGAAAGTTGCAAATTGCTGAGGTAAGTCCCCTCCTTCTACCCTCCCCCAGCCACTTTATGCTCATGCCAACCACCCTGAGCTCACCTTGCCTCCCTTGTGCACCTTCACAAACCCTCGCCGTTTAAAAAAAGATGTGTTTCTTATTATTCCATTCAACTCTCAGACTGAACTCATTCTCCCATTTAACTTAAATCCATTCAGAATACCACCCCATTTGTCTGGCCACGATGAAATAGCAGTTTATTTTTACACAGTTCTGTGAGTCTAAAATAGGCCAATTCTTATTCATCCTGGTCCCTTTGCATTCTTTTTGTAAATGAGTTGGGAAAAATCCATGTTGTGAAGAAACAACTTCCAATTTCATCTTTATTTCTAACAGCAATAGTAGTATATAATTTATATGGCAGTGTTTTGACTGGAAATGTCCATATCTGCCTAAGAAAAGACAAAGATAAAATTGGTGGTAAGGAGCACCTTACTAGAGAGGATGATAGCACTTGAGGAGATCAGTGCTGTGTAGCTATCTGTGTCTTCCCAGGATGACATATTATGAATGAGCATGCTCTATCAACCAATATATTCACAATACATTCTCAAAATTACAGATTTGCCAAGAGAATGTAGATCCTGACTGTGGACTTTTAATACTGGTGCAGTACAAACAAAAACAAATTAGTTCTCTCCTTCCTCTGGATTAACACTGAATCTGGTGTTTAACCTGATTGCAACATTATGCTCATTGTCTTTTATGGGGTTTAGAGTTATGGTTATATGACAGGCTAGTTATGTAATCTTCTGACAGTGTCAGATGCTAAGAGATTGGATTTTGAAGTCCATGCCTTTTTGAGAAACTTTTTGAAGCCTGATAACTGGGAATGTATTTCTTCATGAAAAACAGGTTAAGAATTCCAAGAGATGTGAAGCTCATCCTAAGATTTGCACCTGATCACAGCTGTTGCTAGGAAGACTAAAGAAGCTCATAGAATGTAAACATGACAGGAACTGAATTAGCTCTTCAGGGCTGGATTATATCTTGTAGTTCTTTTCTGGCAGGGGTCAATCTCCTGAGGAATAACTCAACAAGTAGATATTACTGATTAACATCATAAGATGCAGATTAATTCAGTAAAATACAGTGGCTGCATCTCAGAACATAGGCCATTCTGTTAGCTTTGATTGTGATTTTTGTGTTTTTTTTTTCTAGGTGTTGTGGATTGTATTTTGACTTTTATTGGCTGCTTTGACTTGAGTAGGTAAAGCTAGCCAAAAAGTCTAATAAATGAATAATAAAATAAAAATGCTTTGCATGAGAAACCATTTACATTTTTAAATTTGTTTCTTCATTTATTTCCTGTACCACTGTCAAGACAAAGCAGTGATAAATTGTTGATGTTGTTTGATACAAAATCAAATTTAAATCATTACAACAAAAACAGTGATGACTAAAAGTAGTAAATTTAGGGATGCTGATCACTGTTTCTTATTTGCAGCATTTCAGAGTCCATGAATCGGAAAATGTTTCTGGATGGTTTACAAATTGCTTTTAAGAACCTGAGGAATGGAAATGGGGAAACATTTTTTGTTTGAGAAAAATTAAAGAAAAAAAATTATGTTTTTAGTAAATAATTGGGGATTATATTCTTGCTGTGTGAATATATTTTTTCCAAGTAATTTCTATTTTATGTCTTGCAGAGGAGATTAAAAATCCAAGCAGAAACATTCTTTGGACTGTGATGACTGCACTTCCTTTAATCATTATTTTCTATTTGCTAGTTAACATTTCATATCTGACAGTTCTCACACCACAGGAAATTGTTTCCTCAGGTATGGCTGGGGAGTCTGTATTTTTAATTCACAAAGGGTAATTATATCACCTATAATTGATATAACAAAGAATTCACTAGACAAGCTCAGATGAATCACAGGTAATATACCCACTTGTGCACGGAACTGTGGCACAAATATTCTGACTGCATCCGTATGATACTACTTTCAATGCATCTCCAATCCACAAGACAGACTTAAATTGTTCTTGGCTAACAACACAGTGCAACGACAGTTGTTGCAAAGCTGTCTATCCACTCCAATGGAGATAAAAATCAGATGACCAGCTGTTTGTGAAAGCATAGGGATGCTTATTAAGCCCTTTCAGGCTGATGGGGACATGCCTCCAGTCTCAGTCAGGCCGGCCTGCCACTATTCTACTGGTATCTTTCTGCAGAGCTGTAGAACAGAGTTTGTACTGGAGGCCCTTGAGATTTCAGCACGAAAGGAAGAGGGATATTTTTAGCACTGGGGTTCCTTTTGTATTCTATTGCCAATCCTGCTTCAGCTAGGTATAAATGGTTTCCTGCATAGGCACATATCTCTCTGCACAGACATATTTGGTTGTCACCATTTTGCATCCTCAGTTAAATGATGGGTGGTAAATTTAAAGGGTTGTCTTTCAAAATTGCACTGTAGCACTAAACTATTCAGCCAGCAGTGTTGCAAGTGATTCCCTTCAGTTCTCCATTGTACAGCTCAAGCAACTAAACGTTGAAATGACAAGACTTCATTGCTTCCCAAACATAACACAAAGGAATTAGGGAGTTGTCATTTTTTATATATCTATATATAGAGAGGAATGGCAAGAATGATATATTCTATGTAGAACTGCTGCTTATGTTCCCTTGGATTCCCGTAATGATTCCAAACTGGTTTTCTTATACCTTGATTCATTACATGGAATTTTATGGAAGGAATGGAAAAGGGCACAGGAAATAGCCTAGAGGTTAATCTAGACCAGTGGTTCTCAACCTTTTTAATGCCGCGACCCCCAACCGGTCGTAAGTCGAGGACTACTCAACCGGTCGTAAGTCGAGGACTACTCAACTGGTGCAGCACCGTTTGCAGAATGGGACTTTTGGCGGGCTCAGCAGGGCAGAGACAGCCTGGACAATTCCTATTGGCTTTTGAAAGCCAATAGAATTAGACTCTATTCAAGAGAGTATATTCTATTGGCTTTCAAAAGCCAATAGAATAAAAGGGAGTAGCACAGCTAAGGAAAAGGGGAAAAAAATGTCGGACTGCGTTGTTTGGCGACCCCCGTGAAATGGTCGTTCGACCCACCTTGAGAACCACTGATCTAAACCTACCTCCTTACTGTGATATGTGTTTATATGTGTCTGTGTGATTGACAGATGCTTTTCCCACTCACTGGAGTTATGTTGAAGAGGGATGGCAGCAAAGCCAAAGGATTAAAATAATTGCTTTGCTTACCCTGTGCATGTTTGATAGTGAGCCAGAAAGAGAGGCAATTTAGCGATTGGTAATGTTGTCATCAAGCTTCATGCCAGTAATAACGTATAAAAAATATTTGTGTTTTATTAAAGATGTTATTAGTCCAGTTGAAGGTTTTACAAAACAGCTCTAGGCTTTTAGTTTCTATTTTCTCTGCAATATATATATTGTATCTTTGCAACTGGATCTTGCAATTCCACCATTCTGTTTGCCATCTTATTCCATTGCCATCATCACTTGAACTATACAGAATTCTAGTAGATGCTTTCTCCAGAACAACCTCAAATAGAAATTCTATAATGAAAATTTCCCACAAGCCACATAGGATTCTGCGTGAAAACAAAGTTGCAAACTTTTTTTGTTGATAACACTGTGGAAGTACTTTGCCATTGCTGCCTTCTAAAATTGTTTTTTAAAAAAAGTCAATCTAATGACCAGACATGAGAATATCTGGTGGTTTCCCTCCCAGCAAGATTACCTAATGATGACTACCTGCTGCAGATATTACTTTCATAGAGCTATGAAAAGGCAAAGGATCACTGAGCTTTATTCAGCCTTGCAAGTCCAAACAATGTTGTTTTGGTACTCTGGAGCCAAATCTTATTTGTTCTCCAAAGTTCCCTAAAGCATATTAAGGTTCATTAATATACAAAGCTGTGTGTGATATCTTAAGGAAAGCTGTTTAGCTTTTACACATAATCTGTTAACAATGCTGATATTTCCTTTCAGTTGTTGTAGCAGTCATATGGGCTGAGAGAGTAATCCCTTCATTTGCTTGGATAATTCCTGCATCTGTGGCTGTTTCTATATTTGGTGCCCTCAACGGCAGCGTGTTCACTCTTGGACGGTTGAGCTATGCTGCGAGTCAGTCTGGACACTTGCCCATTATAGTATCCATGCTTAATATCCACCACTCTACTCCAGCACCCGCCATGATTTTGTCCACCATTATTGCAACTGCTTTTCTCATTTCATCAGATCTAATTGCTTTAATGAATTATTTTGGATTCTCCATTTGGCTTATGACTGGACTAACATGCGCTAGTGTCATTGTCCTCCGATATCGAGAGCCTGATCTACACAGGCCATACAAGGTACATAGAAAGTAATGGAAATGTGTAACTTGCATCCTGCTATATGTAATGTGTGGGTCTGGTAATCTTTGAAGAGTCAGTCAATCACCCTAAGCAAACCAGTGTCAATTTTACCATTGAATAGATAAACAAAGGAAGCTGCTTTATACCGAATCAGATCATACAACAATCGAATCCCAGCAGTGTTTATTTTGATTGGCAATTACAAATCCCCAGGTTCTCAAGGTTTTCCATTCCCTGATTCTGAGAAGCACATCTAACCTTGCTCTACTGTGTTTGTACAATGAGTAAATTCTGTTTAGATCAGTGGTTCTCAACCTGTGGGTCGGGACCCCATTTGGGGTCGAACGACCATTTCACGGGGGTCACCAAACAAGGCTGTCCGCCATTTTTCCCCCTTTTCTTTGGCCACGCCCCTGGCACCCGGTGATGTATAAATGGTTGGGGGTCACCACAACATGGGGAACTGTATTATGGGGTCGTGGCATTAGAAAGGTTGAGAACCACTGGTTTAGATGATAGAGAATGTGGAAGAAAAACATTGCAGACAATGCTGATTTTGCATTCATGAAATCCACTTTTTTAAAAAAAATAGCTTAACAACTCAGTCCTATATATAGTGGCCATATGCAAGACTGAATGAATTTAGGCAAATTATTGCAAGATGATTGCTTAAACTTCACATTTAAAGAAAGTGTCTCCACAGTTATTTATGGTTTTTCTAGTGATTATAAGCTGATTGTATAGACTTATAAAAATCCATAAGAAATGGTTGTTTAATGCAGCTCTGGCATGATTGTGTCTAAAGTTGATTCATGTCCACAGTATGAAATGTATTTTATTTTTTTTGCATTTCTTCCTTGCTTGTTCATCTATTTAACACCTGTTGTCTTAACTCTGTGTTTATATTTTGCAGGTTTGTTTACCAGTTGCCTTTGGAATGGTGGCCATTTCTTTGTTCTTAGTTTTGATTCCTATAATTTGGTCTCCGAAAGTGCAGTATTTATATGCTTTCCTTTTCATGGTTGGTGGTTTTCTTTTATACTTGCCCTTCATACATTTTCAAATACATTTTGAGTGGCTTGATAAAATGACTTGCTATCTGCAGCTGCTGCTCGAGGTTTCGCCTGCTAATTATAAATCTGAATAATGCCAACATTTGAAACTGCAGTAGGAACAAAATGTTGCTTGTGCAGCATAGCAACAGCTTCTGATACTTCCCTTGTTGCTTTTTTAAAAATATATGCATGTTGGTGAAATGTATGTTGTTATGCACATACACACTAGTGGCTTTTTGTCAAAAGATCTTGATTGAATAAACCCTGTAGCCAGTGGTGGGATTCAAATATGTGAGCAACCAGTTCTCTGTGTGGATGCGGCTTCCAGAAGTCCATTCTGGGCCTGGGCAACAAAAAAATAGCTACCGGTTCTGCCAAAGTGGTGCGAACCGGCTGAATCCCACCACTGTCTGTAGCTGTAATGGCAACATTAAGGTGAATGGACTTCAACTTCCAGCATGCTGGCTGGGGAATTCTGGGAGTTGAAGTCCACACATCTTAAAGTTGCCAAAATACTGCTGTAGTTTTTTCAAATCCTCTGAAAAAAAACTTCTTGGATTCTGGGATACTTAGGGGATGCAGTGGAGGAAGACTGAAAAAAAATCTCTATGTGAGCAATAGTCTGGCTTTTCTACCATTGCCTAGTTAAACAGACCTTAGTCACCTGAAAAAGATTGTGTGTGTGTGGTGATAACTTTAACATTGCTTGTAGATTATTCACAGTTAAATTTGGTACCATGGGAGAAAAAGAATTCCGATTTTTTCTTTAACTACTTGTATGAAAAAGAACTTGGATAAAACTTGATCCTGGGAATGGGACTGGAGGCTTGGGGGCAGGATTCTCCATAGTCTGTAAATGTGTTTTTATTTTTTAATTTAAACTGCTTATGAGTTAAATGTACTAAAATAGAACATTTGGATCTATATTATATATTATATATATTTTATAATACATATTTCCTAAAATCATTTGTATATTTTACTTCTAACATAAAAAAAGAATATAACACTGAAAACTGAAAATATTTTTAACATAATTAACATAATTAAGGAGAAAACCCTAACTTTTTTTACCACCTTTGTTAAAAATTGAAAATCTAAGATGATCTATGACCAATTCAAAGTAGTTTTTTCTTTAACATCATTGTATCAGGCTTCAACATCACACAGTTCAGTTATTTTTCAAATGCTTTTTGTGCCTTTGTCCCCATCTGGATTACTACAGTTTTTACCTACTACTAAAGAGCATCTTTCCTACTTGACATGATTGAAAAAGAGATTGTGCTATGTTCACATATTCAAAGTAAAAAGTACCATCATAGTTTAAGGGGATTATCAGGTTTGTACAACATGCTCAAACCAATATCTGGCTTTCTGCAACATTCTCTTTATCAGAAGCTGTCCAATCCTGTTTTAATTCAGTCCACCGTTTCTCAAAGTTTTGGCCGTAGTTCTCATACCGGGAGCCCCTCCTCACACTTCTTTCTGAACAGGCTTACCAATTAGATGTAAAAGTGTGCTGAATGCAAATCAAGGTGATGCTTACAGAGCTCTGTATGAAGCTATGGGTTTAGGGATTTTTAACAACTTTCAAAGAACCCTTGGATAGGTGTAATGTGTTGTAGAAATCCAGCCTATGCATTTCAATAAAACAGAATTTACATTTTGCCCATAAATATTTATTTATTAATTAAATTTACATAGTTGTCCACATACTGTATGTGACTCTGGGTTGCGCACACTATTAAAATAAGAAAAACACAATCAAAATCATCAAAAACCAAAACTATTAAAATACAATTAAAACAGTTAAAACTATAATAAAACAAAAAAACAAAAACAAAAAAAACAGGAGAATGCACTCAAAACTTACAAAAGGTACAACCATTTTGCAGGCTCTGTATTTTCATGGGAACTCTGGTCTACTGACCAAAGTACGAACCAGGGCAGAAAAGGTTCCCCTCATAATTCTCTCAGGTGCAATCCACAACATGCCCCTCTTGCCCATGGTTATCAGACATCTTTCAAAAGGAAGACATATCCCCCCTTTTTTCATGTCTTCCATTCAGCAGACATAATCTTAAAATAAAATATTATCCGGCTTTTTGAGAGTCTTGGATTTTAGGCGGGGAGAAAGGGACTGTTCACATAAAACAAGTCATTCAAATGTTCATATATTACAACCTTATGAATTATCTGCTTCTTTCCCCCCCCATTCACTGACAGCTTAGATTTACATTATTTATTTCCTGATTCCAGCTATCAGCCTCAATCCAGCCCCTCCAAATTTATGATTGCTGTAGTCTGTACATCACTTGACTTGTCATACACTTCCATGCTGAAATTTAAAAAGCATGTTGATGTCAATTTGCAAAGCTTATGTTCTTAAAAATAAAGATTGGTTGAAAAAATACTGCAGTTGAAAAACTGGTCTTTCTGATGCTGGAAAATAATTTCATATACATGTATGCCTAAATACATTTTTTGCAGTTTTTCACTATAATTTTTGTCACAGATGGCAAGGAAGTTAAACAGTTGGTGTGGCCTTCACACACACATATCCCCCTCGCACACAATTTGTCTCCCTTTCCAACTATCTATGTCTTGCTTTGCCTGTTCAGATATCTGGTAACCAGGCCTGATGGGATAGGTAGATATAACTGGGGACAGCCAATCTCTCAAATATGCAGGACTTTAAATGTCATAACCAGCAGCTTGAATTGAACCTGGAAACAAACTGGCAACCAAAGCAAAGCAAAAGAGGGTTATGTGCAATTCTAATTGCCTGCACTACCACATTTTAAAGTACAAATGCTTCTTTTCCCAAGCAATGGAGAACTGGTAGGAGTAAGTGAACTTGCCCTTCTTCCTTCTTCTATATGGACAAGAATTTGCAGCAGGAATCACTCACAGGTTGCAGTGAGGACTCTATGCTCTTTGCTGTGATAAATACAAGAATAAAGAATTTTGAAAATGTAGCCTACTGTATATTGCTGTTTGTTTTTTCTTACCAAAAATTGTGCATATATTTCCTACCTGTCTTTTTTGCTTGCTTTTGAACAGCAACAAATTAAGCTAAAAAAATAGTTACTTAATAAATGGATTTCTTGGGGAGCTATTGAGAGTAAATCAGTTTGCTGCAGCTGTCAATAAAGCTAATGCAGTCCTCGGCTGCATCAACAGAGGGATAGCATCAACATTACAAGTAGTGATAATAATGCTTTATATCGCAGTGGTGAGACCACACTTGGAATATGGTGTCCAGTTTTGGTCAGCACAATACAAAAAAGATGTAGAAAGTATGCAGAGAAGAGCAACAAAGGTCTGGAGACTAAATCATATGATGAACAGTTCAGGAAGTTAGGTATATCTAGTTTATCAAAGAGAGAGATTAGGATTGACATAAAATGCAACACAGAAAATGCAGGCGCTACTGGGCCCGCTTCACCAGTGTCTTGCTGTGGAGCGACCAAGCCAGTTTATGATGCCGTATCTTGTACAAGTTCATCAACTTTGATTTGGTAAATGAATAGTGGTCAAATGACTTAGCAAAATGCTTATGCCTTTCAGTTCAAGTCTGCAACATAGTTGCCAGAAAACTGATTTTTCCATATATATACCTGTTGAGGCTTTTTCACATATTATCTAAGTCAAAACTTTTCTTTCCTTTAATGCTAGAAAGGAGTGGGGTTTGTTCTGACTTTACACACAGTACTGTAGTTTTTGCCTGTCATTGTTGGTGGGGGTGTTTTTTCTTCCTTGGTAGTTCTTTGATAGACTGTTATTTACTGCTTATTTGTTTGGTATTAATTCTGTGTTAACCTCTGCTTATCTGAGTGTTGTTTGCTGGTGAGCTGTTCTTGTCTTTTTAGCTTTTTTATGTTTCTTTTGAATGGTGTGCAAATGTTATTTACCTCTATATGCCTGTTGATGGCTAATTTGTCTGAATGCTAGATTTCCAGGAATTGCCTGGCCTTTTTGTATTTAGCTTGGTCTAGGATGCCCCCAGTTTTCCAGTTGAAATTATGGTTGAAGTCTGTCCATTGTTGTGAAATTAAGGAGTTTTCATTGTGACTTCTAACCTCTCTCTCACACCAACATTGACAGGGTAAGCTACTGTATATAAACAGAGAGCAAACTCTACTTCTTTTTAACACTGAAATGTTACCTTGTCTGGTAATGAAAGCTCTGCAAGCAAACAACCAAGTTTAGAGAGCACCAATTACTCCATTGTTCAACCCTGAGCTATACATATTCTCTTTTATTGGTGCTTTTCTTCTATTTCTGCAAATTTATCTCTCTTTCCCATTCTTATCCAATTTAAAGAACTATATTAATTAAAGGGAGTAAATGTACCCTAGAACATATATATAAACATATAGTACAGTTTATTTAAGAGGTCTAGCAGGTCTAGGTTTATGCTGAAATGCCTTGAAGCAAAACAGTTGACCATGTTTACTTGCTTTATTAATTTACTTTCCACAGTTTAGTTAAAATCCCTTATGCAAAGCGGTTGCATTACTGTCATGCTTCAGGGATTTAATTTAGGGACTCTTAATTTTCAGCTACAAAAGCTGTGGAGAAATGGGAGAATAAAATTCAAGTTTTTGTTATGGAACATGAACACAATTTCAACAGTATAAAAAAGTAGATTGTGCATTCACCAATTAGTACCAACAGCACTGGGACTATAATACATATCTTTTATAGCTAACATAGTTATTAATGACTAGAAATGTTCAGAGTTGCATTCTTAACATTCCTAGAAAATAGATTGAGGAGAAGGACTGGTACAGAAGATTGGTTTAGGGACTCACATTTTTAAAGATAGATTTCACAATTCTTTATCTAACACAAACATTTTCTGGGATTTGAACTGTTAAACCTAAAAATTGGGCCTAAACTTAAAGATGTCTTTTTAAACATTTAAATTCCTGCAGGGCAGAATAGTATTGTTGAAGGTGGAGTTTTGATGTGGATTGCCATTTCAAAAGAGAGCTGCAATCAATTAATTTCACTTGGTACCCCAAACCATCCAGAATAGGTAATATTTAAAGCCCAAGACTTTTCATAAATGAAAGTGAGATATAATTTAATGCATGTCAGCCCTAATTTAACACTTTTGATCAGTGACATTTAATTTTCTCAGCCTGTTTGATGATAATAATTGCTAGAAGCCCAGCTGTTACTGACTGAAGCTCCTAACAAGTCTGCTTTAATTTTTCATCTTTTGGAATGTCTTCCATTGTCAAATTAAGTGAAGTAGTATTATTTCTTTGAACAAGAATACTAAAAATCATGGCCCACTTCAAAAACTGATCTTCAAGAATTGGCACTACTTAGGATACATAGTCTGGACTTGAGGGGATCTAAAGTACTACTGCTTAATTTTCAAATGTTTCTTTTTAGTTAAAAAGACATAGTAGATACACAGGCAGAATTTTCAAAAAAAAAAAAAAAAAAGGGAGGGGGGGAAGGTCCTGAGCTCATATTGTGTAAAGACAATCTGTTATTTAACTTGCTTGTCTATTCTTCATCATAGATTTCACTCTTTTTCTTAAATTGTGCTTTCATGTAAACTTAATTTCATCATAAGGAGTTCATGCCAAAAGATGAAGCCAAAAAGACTACATAGTACGAAGATGTTGAGGCCTAGTATGACTTAGATAATAGAATGATCTCTACATCTTTAACATTTTTATTTGAAATAAGTTACCCAATCTGTTCAATATTTCTGGGTTGTTTTTTTTTTTTTGGTGAAGAGAAAATTAAATTTTGAGATCCTAACACAATTAAAAGTCACAACAAATCACACCTTAAGCCAGGCTCAGTGTCTGAAGAGAAAATGGTTTTATTACCTATTGCACTGTGAGCCATACTTGGAACAACCACTCTTAAATTCAAATGGACACTATTGATTTTACATTTTCAATGAAGTTCTAAAATCTGCAGAGCTGTACAATAACCTAAAGAAAGATATCATCTAATAATCTTTTTTAAGAGGTAAGGACTACACATTGACAAATAAACAACAGCACAAGACTAGATTCCGTTCCCCCCCCCTTTGTTTTCAGTTGTTAAACCCTTGGGAATTGGTAAGCCTTGCTAATATATGGCACATCATTTCAAATAACTGTCAACAGACTTGGACCTTCTCTTGCCTCTGACAGATCTAAACTAGTCTTTCACAAATGCCTATCACAAGACAAGTCATGCTAACAAGAAATCACAGGAGTCATGGCCTGCCTTGAGAGCACCAACGGGAGAAATTCATACCATAGTATTTCTTGACTGGGTTTGCAGATTTCAATATATAACAATATTTTTTTAACATTGCCCTACTGTGTTGTGTTAAAAAGCCCAATTGTTTTGCAAACCATAGTTTATTAATTATTAAATGACTCTGAACAGCTCCCCATATGCAAAAGGATAGAATTTCATAAAAACAAACCAACACACATCTATAAAACAATAACCTTTCAAAGAAAAAGCAGCATTCATCCGTACCTGACTCCAATTTAAAGAGGCAATTCATCTTAATCCAAATCCTGGGAAAGAGCCAGGTTTTGATGGCCAAGGTGAATCTCCACAGGGACAGGTGAGAACAATAGAGATGTCTACCTCCAAGGGTTTCTTGGATGATGTTGCTTAATGAATGGGACCTAAACCAAACTTAGTTGGAAGGTTCAGGATGGGAGATAAGCCATCCTAAGTAGCCAGGCTTACACAATAGGGATATGATGGGATCTGTATATTCAAGAAATTATGGTTAATTCAATTATGCATGCTTATAATAAAGCAGAGTTTAGCAAAGTTAGTGCATTTCTTTCTTTTATACAGACCATTACATAATCATGAAAAACTTAAAAGATACCCAGATAAGCCATAAATGAACATTGCAGTGCTCATATGAACCCTAACATAGATGAATTATTTTAGATTTTAAAAAATAATGTAATTAAAATAATATATTTAGTAGGCTGGAATAACAGAAAATGGTCAAATATCACAAGATTATAATGTTACCAACTGAAAATTTGCAAGGGATCAAAATGTTTAACATTAAAAAAAAGAAGCACCTGTGCTAAAAATATGCAATATTAACCCCCCCCATCTCCAGATCAGTGGAGATATTTAGAATACAAACTTGGCACAGTTTGTAAACCTAGCCATTTTTTTCTTTAATCAGTCTTTTCCACTGAAATGCTACACTGGATATTTTATTGTTCCAATAGGTCAGCTAAGTCTTGCTCAGAACAGCACCAAATAATTGCAACCGGCTGCTAGAGTGATACTGTGCTAGGTCAATTTTTTACTGATGTCTAAATTTGCTAGATGAAACAAAGCAAATAATTAATATGCAACAATTCTTTATATTGTGAAAATAACTCCACAAATCTGTCCTCCACCTCTGCTCTAGGTAAGAGATAGCAACTACTGCATATACTGTACATTTCCATTTTTTTTTGTTTCACTTTGGCATTAGAATGACTCATTCTGCCTGAATGGATTGCATTTTTTAAAAAATTGCTGTTCAGGAGCTGGTGAACTTTCCATCTGACAAACTATTAGATAGAATTTTCTTGTCAAAACCATCCATGTACAATTAAATGGCTACATTTCTTCCATCTCATTTCTTCTAGAGTTATTGATCTGCTGCTCTTATATACCATGTTAGAAATCCAGGGTCACCAAAAGCAAAGCTCCTAATAAATTTGCCCACAAGACCAGAATCAAAATGGTGACAAGGGAGGTATGCCACTTTTCTGCAGGGTGGATTTTGTATTTGTATAAATGTGCAGATAATCAGAGGAGCTAGTCTAAAAGGTGATCCATGCTTGAAATCAGTATAACTGATTTTATCAAGTTTGCTTTCAAAACCTAACCTGGATTTCCAATACTCTCCAAAATGCTTCCTTAAATAACAATGCTTGCTGGACCTACCATCTTCCTTATATGGCACATTGATGTTAAGATTCATTAATCTGGAATATCTATTTCTATATATCCTTTGTTTCTTATGCAGAATATGAAAAATATATAATTAATTTGAAGCATTATATCACAGTGAGAAATTATTGCTGCAACTGTGCAACATTTTGGCCTCAGTGGCTAAAAGATATTTTGCAGTTATCAGATCAGGAGACATGAATGTTGTATCTCTTTGCAACTTCCAAAAGCAGCTATGATTTTCCTAGAATTTTGTAATTCTAGTAGAATTTGGCTAGAATTTAGGATTACAGCTCATGCCTCTTAACTAATAAAGCCTTTTAAACTGTTTTAATTATCTAACTGAACACCCTTAGCAGCAATATTGGGGGGGGGGAGACCTCTATTTACTCTTGCTTTCTCAATAGTTATCAAGATATTTTTCCTTATATATTCAGTTTTCTGAGTAATGCAACCAGGACCACATTTTGTTCCCTTTTATTATCAAGAATTGCCACCCTGCTTAAAGGGAACTTTTAATATAGAAGATTATTCTTGTCAGTCTCGTATTCCAAAACGCCTGGTTCATTTAATGTCAGTTAAATAGTATTGTTTAGAAAGCACATCCCCATAATTTATAGTATCAAGGTGACATAAAAAGTCAGTCTTATTTGAAATTTTAATGGCTTATGGTGTTGAAAAATTTTAGTATCATTGTCTTGCAGTTGTGACTTTTTATCTTGTTGAAATAATAGTCTTTTGAAAGATGTGTTGAGATGTCCTGCCTGTGAATTCCTTTTGATATTGCTGACACTGAAGGTGTATCAAGATAAATGATTATCAGAAAAATTGTTTCTAACTTAGATAATACCCCAGATGTTAAGCACAGATCTGCAGTTACCTTTCAATTGATTTACAGCATGGAGATGATTCAACCATTTTGATAATTAGTATTATTTTTTCTCAAGTTTCAGAAATACATAGCATAAACTTAGAGATGTTTACTTAGGAATAAAGCTTTGAATTTACAGTATTGGATGTCAGGCTGATTTTTTTTTTTTTGAGCTGCTGTTAATTTCCATCATTAGTATTTTCAGAAGAACTATTGAAGAGAATTAATCCATTAATCAAAGGAAAATATTTATTTACAGGAATGTAAAATTTATGTTACAGCATTTGAAAAAAAAATGTGTTGAATGTTGACACAAAATCAAAATCTTCAGAAGATGAATGCAAATACTGTCCTATTATTGAAAACCTCCATGGCTTTAAAAATGGGTGTAGAGTTTCCTTATGGATGTGCCATGTTTTGGATTTAATTCAAATGAAGTGTTCTGGTATTTGTGGGAGCTGAAACTATTTCTGTTCTGCAACTCATTAGAGCAGCTGTGTTTGTGTTGCTTCATGTTCTGAAAAACTCCTTCCAAATGGTATTGTTCAACCCTATATTTTATTCAAGTAATAATATTTTCCATGGTCTTAACATTATTTTCCCATTTCATAGAATTGTTCTAAACCAAAGTGCAACACAACTTAATACATATGTTTAAAACAGAGGAGGTAATGTTCCTATGATAATAGAATCAAAATTCCAACTCTTTTTCTGGATTCATTTGTCTTGCATGCAAAGGTATTTGGGTACAGACTTACAGCAAATGATGCAGAAACAAACCCTGCTTATTCTTTCTCTTGGTACTTTTATAATCACTGCATGGACTGAGAAAAAAATAATTTATACAGAAAATAGATAGCTTTTATGGAAACATTGTAATAATGCAAGAGACAGAAGGTCACGGTGAAGGAGCTATCAGTTCAAGTAAAACATGTGTTCTGTCTACAAAAAATTCCAGCTTGAGTGTCTGGCATCTGAACTAATGCTAGGTTTAGCAGATCGCGGCTTCACATTTTATTCACAGGTTTAATTGAACAACAGGCTGTTCTTTTCCCACAGTCGTTAATCTGGAGATACAATGCTGCAGTTAGTGATGCTTTATAGATAACATACTGAGTATTCCTGCCTGAATCCTTATGTATGGATATTATAAGAGTCACATTCAAGCATTGTGAAATCTATAATGGTCAACTGAGGCACTTTACAACTGATATCTAGATCTGGATAATTCATGAATTGCATGTGTAAAATGATGTAGCAATGAATTCATGGAAACTGCATTTCCAAAAATGTAGACTGAAGAAATATTTGTGAAAATACTAAGCAATACACTGAAGCCCTTTGAAGAGGTTTGGGGGAAAGACCAGGCAGGCATTCAAATGAACACTTACCAAAATCAAACACATCTTCTATTTAACTATAAATGTAGACATGATTGAATGTGTGATGGTTCCTTTGGGCCCTCAGAAAAGTGCTTGCATTTGGTAATGATGTCCTACTAATTAAATTGACAAAAACTACACTTATTCTACCTTATCCAGATTAATATGACTTATGGTCATGGAAAAAGTCCAGTTTCAAGCCTCGTTCTCTAAGCAAGAGTGAAAAAACAGTCTATACTGTATGATGCACTCCCCACAGAGAAACCAAGGTATCTGTCTACCTGTCTGGCTAAAATAGGTTAAACTGGAACTTCCAGTTATCTGAAGAGGTAAAAAAAGACAATTCAGTAGAATAGAAAGCAGACAGGCATCAAACATGCCAACTTTACAACATGGCAACCCTCATAAAAGTATTAAGAAATTTTTGAACCATACCGATCTATAGTCTATCCAGAATGTGCTTATCTGAAGCTAATAATAGCAACATAGAAGCTGAGGCATATTGACATTGATAATAATTTTCTACTGATATCACAGGAAATTGTATACAGAATATTTTCAAATTATATCCATTTTACTGTAATGATGCACTGAAAATCTTCAAAGACAAATATTGATTTGTTCTTTTCAATAACCCACTAATGTATGTATTTGCCTTAAAGCAGGAATAAAAATAATTAAAATATATATTGGCTCATAAATTTTTGATGATCTCTTCATTATGCTGTAAACATTTAAGTGCAATATCACCCGACTGTAAATATGATGAACCATAAAACATGCTAATCATAAAAATAGCTTTTACAAATATACATTTGTATACAGTATTTCTTTTGCTTTAAATATGTCCTTCATATTATTATACAAGTCATTGGCTATCTGACATCAAAATAAAAAAAAATTACCAATGATTAGCCAGGAGAAACACATTTATAGTCCAAACCATAAAAATATGACAATTGTGTAGTTTTAAACATATGTTTTAAAATTTTGAATGGCGGTCTCCATTTCCAAAAGTAAATTCAGTTCTTCATACAAATTGAGTCAAATATGCTATGAGCTGACAAGAAACTGTAGTTTACATTTTCACACAGGGAAGTCTATGAATTATCTTCTCAGCTTCCAAAAGGGTTGTGTAAGGGTCCCAATTCATTTGATCTGTAGAAACTATAATATAAAATACAGTTGTGTTTGAAAACATTTTGAAGAATAGATAATAACAGATGAAATTAACAGAATTTTTATTTTATGGAAAGCAATTGATTTGGATCAGTTTTGTGGAATGATAAATATTAATCTTTTTTTCAATTCAAATTTACTCACCTGAACTGATATGAGACATACAAGAACCTACAATTTTCTAGTCTTCAGCATTGACTACCTAACCAAGTTCTGTTAATGAGGCAAAAGTAATTTTGAAGTTTCTTATTCTTGTTCCAAGTTACAAATAAATAAAAATTTGACCCACATTCCTAATTTGGTTCATCCACACAATGACATTAATGGATTACTTGGGTAAAAAACACTTGACCATTAATTAATAATGTCAAAGGACTTTAAGTCTGATAGCTATACAAAAACTTTCTGCTTCTCAAAGTAATTTACTTTATAGAAGTGCTGAAATTAGGTTCCTGTGAAATCATGGAACAGATTGATCAAGTAATCTTTCAAGGATAGTGATAGGGTTATGAAATTATAGGCATTAACATTTTCCACATATTGTATAAAGGTTAACAAGTCTGTAGAGTACTATTATACAATTCCTATTAATGAGGTCACTTTGAAAACTCTTATCTGCAAGCTCTTTCCATTATTTGTGGTACCAAATTAGCTTAGAAGAGGTCTATTTTCTCCTTCAGTTTCTCTCCTGCATCAGAGGCAGCCCTGATGATAGTTAATAGCTCTGTTGCTCTTCTGAGAATAAAAGTAGTGTACTTTCTCACCTTGCAGGGTTTTTGTTTTGTTTTTCTTTGTTTTCTTGCTTGTCTTTTTCTATTATATAAAAGTCAAAAGCCAGACATTACTGAAGATATATTCTTAGCTCATTATAAGTACTAAAAAGCTTCCTTATGATTAAGAGCATTGTAAATAATCTATATTTGAAAAAAATCTGCTTTGCTGTTGCTTAAGAACTGAGATGGGCACTGGCAATCTCAATAACTAGCAGAAAGGACATAGGGATATTTGCAACATTCTCAGACTTATTTTAATGAAATGGAAAGGAAGTTCATATCAAAAGATCACAAACAGTTAGTAATGTAAAAAGGTACTGCCATTATTACCAACATTCTCAATCTAGAGGTCTCCAGTATAATCATACTAAAACTCCCACAATCTCAAATAGCAAAATCAATGATACAAATGATAGAAGCAGTACTCTAACACATCTAAAGGCACTGAGAGTGGACAAACCTTGTTTATTAGATTTATGCTTAGATTTTATCACTGTATGTCAGTCTCCAACTTTTCTGGTAAAGAAAGAACTACTTTTTCATTCATTCTTTTCAGTGAAATTATTTAAAATTAACTATTGACTTTTTGGCAGATGGGAAGGGCAAAGTCTGAATACAGTTTTATTTACAGGATCTATGATAATGGGCAAAAGTTATTTTCAAATAAACATGAGAAGAACTCTTGATAGTTCTTTTCGCTAAAAATGGCAAACAAAACTGGATGGGACACCCATATAAAAAGATTTGGGAAGCAAGGTTGCTTTATCCTCTCCCATCATTCTACTGACATCTCAGACAGATCTGAAGAAGGTGAGACTTTAGTATTATCCTGCTTCTCTTTTCAAAGTTAGCAAAAGTAGAGGAGAACATACAAGGAACCCTTTGTGAGGTGGAAATTATCTGTAGGGACATCCTGCTTTACTTACGTAAACTTCTCCCACAATTGAAAAACCCAGGATTCAGAATTGCATGAAGACCATGCAATTTACATTCCAATTTTGGCAAATGAAGAATAAGGAGAGAAGATGAAGCTTGTCAGTTTTTTATTTTATTTATTTATTAAATATATATGCCACCCATCTTGCTATCCCTGACGGCATATAACCATATGCTATCCCATTTCACTATCCTTTTTCATGCAATTCATGTAAGAGGAATGAATGACCGAACATGGCGTCATTGAACTAGTACTAGTTTTCCTTTGAGATTCTGGTTATGATGAAAGTTCATAGCTGGCTTGAAAGGTTCAAACCATTTCTTTCCAGGATGTAGTTGACAATTGGACAGTTGCCTTGTGATATTCACCCAGAAAGAACAACAGTTTTAGTTAGCAATGAAATTTGACCAATATTGTAGTTGTAGATTATTGTACAATTGCTGGCCCTCTGAAATCTAACTAGGAGTTTTTGGTAATTCATGTCCTGAGATTTTGCTTGCAATTTTTATGTAAAACGTGAGGTACCCTATTTTTTTTATCCAGGATTTTCAAAACAACACACAAAGAAAACCATTCAACCTTTATAGTTCTACAAATTGTGTATGGTAGTTGCATTTTTTCTGCACCTACCATACACTTCTGGGAAAAGATACGCTTTTACATTCTATCTATCTAGCTGTCTTTCTACCTACCTACCTACCTATCTATCATCTATCTATCCATCCATCCACCCATCCATCTAATCTCTCTTCTCCCTATCTCTATCTTCTATCAAAAGTCTGCACAAAAACATTTTCATGAAAAAAAGGATTTGTCAAAAAGCTGCATATATTAGGCTGTATTACTAATATTGGAGCATTGTGCTCAATACAAATAATTTCAAATTTTTGAAATAATTCTCAGTTTGAAAAACATTTATTCTATTGCAAACATTAGAAACTGAAATTGGCATATTTGTAAAAAACAATAATTAAAAAACTCGGAAAAACACAATCATATGGATGTCCATAAATTTAGGCATGTATCTGACTAAATTCTATAGGTGTACCCCTAGGTAGTATTTTACCTTTGCTGTGCTATTTTTTCAACAATTTTTCAAAATTCAGGTATAGGATTCAAAGTGACAGATACACCTATAGTTCTCAAATTCCTCAACAATACATCCAAAATACTAATGTGATCACAAGCCTCAGCCAACCTAAAGACTTTTGAATAGTTAAATGATAAATATTTCTTTGGAACTGAACTACCTTCAGACATTTCTGGGACAGCAAGTATATTTTTTCACTTTTCAAAAATGTTTTATAAACTTTTCATCTCATGTTATTTATATTTGTTTTTAAACATGGAGCACATAATCCTGCAACAGGACCCTGAAAACGGAATTATCAAAAAGTTTTCTCAAGCTTTCACTGTTTACTTCATCATTAAAAGGTACTATCCAGAGTGCTGGAAATGTAGTTTTAGCCAGCCAGTGAAACACACTGAATCTGAAATGGGATGAACTACATTTTGCAGTAGTTCAAAATAAATTAATTTATTAATATAAATTAATAATAAACATTTCACTAGGCACTGATATCCGCTAAGATGTAAATCATAATTATTGCAATAATAAATGAATATTACCTATTATATTAATCATTTCAATATGATTGTGTCTCTAATTGAAAATATCCTAATGTCAAATAATTCATCAGATATCCTTTTTCTATTACAAAAAGGCATCAATTATCTGCAGTGACTAATTGTCAGGCACAATAGTCTCTGAAAAGAAAATCCATGATAGACTGGTCTACAATCACAACTAATAAGAATTATTATTACAGTACTTATAATCATTCCAAAGAATAATTTAAAAATCCTAAAAACTTTTTTGTTGACATCATTTTTATTTATTAAAAAAATATAAAACAGCACTTTAGAAAGTGCTACTATTATAGCTGAACTGTACTGCCTTCTAAGTTGTGTTCATGTTTGGTACCTAGGATATATTCTTGCCCTCTATAGTCGCAAAGGCAAACCTCTGAATTCCATGAATAATTCATCTTATTTGCTTCACTTCATTATTTTGCTCAGGGCAAGATAGAAATTGGAGAAATGCTTATTTTCGGGGTGACTTAGGCTAAGGAAAGGCTAATAATCAGCACAAGACATCAATGGAAGAAAGTTCCTTTTTCAGAGAGAGGGCAAAACAACTAAGGAATTGCATTATAAAATCTAAATTGTACAAATTACAGTTTAGCTAAAACATTTTCCAATAGTTCAAAGAAATAACTTCTGTTACAAAAGCCTTTACCTTTTCCATGTTTTCTTGAATTTAGTAGGGTGTAATGCAATTTGCAATATTAATATAAGGCTGTTAAGAACTTAATATTTGACCTTTAAATGCTTTGTGACTCCAATCTGAGGTTGCCTCAAACCTCTATACTCTGAAGAGGTCAACTAAACAGACATCCAATATGCTAGGAACTTATTATGACTGTGCAAATCTTTTGAAGGAGGTGCTTTGCAATATTCAGGAAGACACAGGGCATATAAAGCAGTCATCTCTTTTCCCTGGTTCACCCAGCTGCTTTGCAAGCTCTTTCTGATTCTGCCTGCAAGAAAAATGAACCTAAATAATGCATGCAACAAATGAACAGCTGTTTCCAAATAAGCCATAGAAATTTTGAAAAAAACCAGCTGCTTTACTGATTCAAAGAAAAGTGCTTCGTAAGATTTCCTACTCATTGCAACGCATCTTTTAAAAAAGAACTTGCATATGAGTTTTATTATCACCATGAATATGCCTTATTCCTAAACATCTTCTGATATGTTACTGACATAGTGTGTGTCTATAATGACACATAATCTATTTGGGATAGCTAGACAACAGGAAGCTCAGAGTATCTTACTAAAATTATACTTATGACTACTGAATTTTGAAACAACTGTTCTACTATCCAAGGGTTTTAGAGGGTCTCCATCTGAGTTATGTATTTTTTTTAAAAAAAAAATTGAAGGCCAAATAGCTCAGTTTATCTTTAACAACCAGCATTTTTCAGATGTGTTGGGACTCAATTTCCCAGCCAGTAGGCAGTTAAATTAAGATACATTTGGAAGATGTCAAGCTATACTATACTGATTCCACTCCCTAGGAAGGGATGGAAACAGGAGTGAAAAGAGTGACTCCTGAGAGAAAGAGAAATAATTAAGCTTGTTACAGAGAGAACAAGTATATGCCTCTGCTAAAAAAAAAAGTATAGAGGAGATTTGTGTTGGAGATAGGGAGCACATCTGTTGAAATGTTTTAATTAAATAATGAGAAGAAAACAATTCTAAGGAAACATATAGCTTGTCTCCTTTTTAAAAAAGATTAAATACTTGCATGGCAATCTCTTTTACAGCTTTGTTTCTTATTTTCATAGAGTTAGCCCTGTTATTTTGTAAGTATACAAAGACCCAGCTCTTCGAGGAGCATAAGGCCAAGTACGGTCTGCCCCAAGACAAGTACCTAATGATCACCTAGCCGGCCACATTGGACCAGCCTGGGACACAGAGGGGCAATACTAATTTTTAGAGAATGTTTGTTGTGGGTGTGAGTATGCATGTAGATGAATGATGGCCCTGTTATGTATAAATTTTATTATTGTATTTAGGGCGTATGAATGTGAACATTTTTATTTTCTATGTATATAAATTGAGTGTGAATGTGTATTGAGTGTTTGGGGTATGAGAATGGTGGAGTCGGGGGTGGAGCCTGGTACCCCCTCTGCTGAGTGCAATAGCAAAAGTAGGGGGGGGCAGGACTTACCCTTGGGCTTGGTCTGTATGGAAAGCGAGTCCGGTCAGGAAGAGAGAAGGCTGGTCAGGGTGGGGGTACTCCGGGGAGGGGAAAAGGTCAGAGCATCCCGGTCATGACTGGGATGGGCAGATATGGCGGGAGCCGAGGGGCAGGCCATCTTTGGGGAACGAAGACTCGCTATGTTAGAGCGATTCCTTGTTCCGGCCCCTCAAATGGCTCATCCTGTAGTACTGGTGACAGGGGAGTACAGGGCCCTAATTGTAGGCTGCTGTTGCTTAATGCCAGGTCCGTTGTCAGCAAAGCCCCCCTTGTCCGTGATTTAATATTGGACAGCGGGGCAGACCTGGCATGTATAACCGAAACCTGGCTGGGCCCTGAGGGGGGTGTTTCCCTCTCGGAGATGTGCCCGGATGGGTTTGTGGTGCTTCATCAGCCTCGACATCAGGGCAGGGGTGGGGGAGTGGCAGTCATCGCTCGGAAGTCCTTGAGTCCTCGTGGGATTCCTGCCCCGGAGGTTGTTGGGTGTGAGTCCCTCCTATTGAAGTTGGGTTCACGGGTTCAGTTCGGCTTGCTGCTGACGTACCTACCTCCCAGCTGCGTTGCAACAGCCCTGCCTGCGTTGCTGGAGTCAGTAGCCGGGTTGGCGGTGGAGTTCCCCAGACTTATAGTACTGGGGGACTTTAACCTACCATCACTCGGCGAACGCTCAGAGGCGGCGCATGAGTTCATGGCTTCCATGGCAACCATGGACCTGACCCAGGTAATTCAGGATCCGACCCATAGGAGTGGTCACATATCGACCTTGTGTTTCTTTTGGGGCAATGGAGACATGATCTGGAATTAAGGGGAATAGAGATCTCGCCCTTGTCATGGACAGATCATTTCCTATTGAGGCTGGACTTCAGAGCACCACTCTCCCATCGCAGGGAGAGGGAACCGACTAGGTGGTTCCGCCCCAGGCGCCTAATGGACCCAGATCGGTTCCAGGAGGAGCTTGGGGAAATACCTGACTCCCTTGTCCACAACTCGTCCGGGTCCCTGGTTGTGGCCTGGAATGAGGCGGCGTCCGGGGCCCTGGATCGAATTGCGCCTTTGCGACCTCTCTGTGGTGGTGGTCCCCGGAGAGCGCCTTGGTTTACTGAGGAGCTCCGGGAGATGAAGCGCCACAAGAGACGTCTAGAGCGACGTTGGAGGGCCAGTAACTCTGAATCTGACCGATCACTATTAAGAGCCTATCTTAGGACTTATTTAGTGGCGATAAGGGCGGCAAAGCGTGTTCACTTTTCCGCACTTATTGCGTCCGCAGACTCTCGCCCGGCCGCCTTGTTTAGGGTGACCCGCTCCCTTCTTAAAGTGGAGGAGACGGAGGAACCCTTGCAGGAGAGAGCTGAGGAGTTTGTTCAGTTTCTTTCGGACAAAATCGCTCAGATTCAGAGGGACCTGGACTCTGACTGGGCAGTGCCAGCCGAGTTGCCAGGGGCTGGTCTTAGTCATATTATCTGGAGCGAGTTTGAGCCTGTGACCCCTGATGAAGTGGACAGGGCCGCGAGGGCAATGAATGCCGCCACCTATTTATTGGACCCGTGCCCCTCCTGGCTGGTTTCTGCCAGTAGGGAGGTGACACGAGGCTGGCTCCAGGCGATAATCAATGCTTCCTTGATGGAGGGGTCTTTCCCGCAACCTTTAAAGGAAGCGGTGGTGAGGCCCCTCCTCAAGAAGCCTTCCCTGGACCCAGCTGTTTTGAAGAACTTTCGTCCCATCTCCAACCTCCCCTTTGTGGGGAAGGTTGTAGAGAAGGTGGTGGCATCTCAACTCTTGCGATCCTTGGATGAAACCAATTATCTGGACCCTTTTCAATCTGGTTTCAGGCCCGGCTACAGCACTGAGACTGCTTTGGTCGCACTGACTGATGACCTCTGGCGAGCCTGGGATAGGGGTCATTCCTCTATCCTGGTGCTTCTTGACCTCTCAGCGGCTTTCGATACCATCGACCATGGTATCCTTCTGCGTCGTCTCGGAGAGGTGGGGGTGGGTGGCACCGTATTGCGGAGGTTCTCCTCCTACCTCTCTGATAGGTCGCAGTCGGTGTTGGCGGGCGGACAGAGATCGACCCCTAGGCGCCTCGATCATGGGGTGCCTCAGGGCTCGCTCCTGTCCCCCCTCCTTTTTAACATCTACATGAAACCGCTGGGTGAGATCATTCGGCAACACGGGGTGAGGTATCATCAGTACGCGGATGATACCCAATTATATATCTCCACCCCGTGTCCTTTCAGTGAAGCAGTCGATGTGATGTGCCGGTGCCTGGAAGATGTGAGGGTCTGGATGGGGGTGAACAGGCTTAGACTCAACCCTGACAAGACCGAGTGGCTCTGGGTCTTGCCTCCCAAAGGCCAACTGGATGGTCCATCTTTAGTCCTGGGGGGGGCAAACTTACCTCCCTCAGTGCAGGCACGCAACTTGGGTGTCCTCCTGGACTCACAGCTAAATCTGGAACAACATCTATCGGCTGTGGCCAGGGGGACCTTTGCACAGGTTCGCCTAGTGCACCAGTTGCGGCCTTATTTGGACTGGGAGGCTTTACTCACAGTCACTCATGCGCTTGTCACCTCAAGACTGGATTACTGTAATGCGCTCTACATGGGGCTACCCTTGAAGAGCGTTTGGAGGCTGCAGTTGGTTCAGAATGTAGCCGCGAGAGCGATTGTGGGCGCACCAAGGTACGCTCACGTGTCACCTATCCTCCGCGAGCTGCACTGGCTTCCTGTGGGTCTCCGGACGCAATTCAAGGTGTTGGTTATCACCTTTAAAGCCCTTCATGGCATAGGGCCAGGTTACTTACAGGACCGCATTCTGCCGCACAGCTCCCAGAGACCGGTGAGGTCCCATAGATTGGGCCTCCTTCAGGTCCTGTCGGCCAGACAATGTCGGCTGGCGGGCCCTCGGGGAAGGGCCTTTTCTGTGGTGGCTCCGACCTGGTGGAATCAACTTCCCCCCGAGGTTCGAACTACTCCCACCCTGCCGGCCTTTAAGAAGGCCGTTAAAACCCTCCTGTTCCGGCAGGCCTGGGGCTGATGTCCCCGGGGGGCCGGGATATGATCGGACTCACGGTATGACTGTTTTATTTTATTGTTTTATCATTGTTTTAACTTTGTACGCTGCCCTGAGTCCTTTGGGATTGGGCGGCATATAAACACTGAAAATAAATAAATAAATACAAACAGAAATCTTTTCAGGCAGTGCAAGATTTTGCTGTAGCAGAGAAGCTCAGCTCTCTCACTTAAAAAAAAATCATGCTGAAAAATGAGGATGTCACTCCTGTTTTCATCCCTTCCTAGGGGAATCAGTATTGCATTAGTGTCAGTTCAAATCTTTCCCCCTCCAGCATTTTTGTGTGTGCTTATATCTATGTACTAGATAGAGTGAAGGGAGATATCTCTATATTTTAATTCAGAATGGCTGCAAGATAAAAGAAATAACAATAAGGCCACACATTTTCTTCAAGGGTAGCTTCAAAAACATGGGGACACTTAAAATTTGAAATCCCAGTAGCTATATACTTTTATATATTAAATCAAACATTATACTGATTTAAAATTTCATCCACTATCTTCAGGAAATAATCCGCAATACATTCTGGCTGGCTATAAACCCTTGCAGCAACTGTCAGTCTAACACATTAATTGAAAGCGAATTCCATCACAATCAGAAGAGCTATGCCCAAGTATATATGTCTATTGCTTTGCATTAATAACTCAACAAAAAAAGTCATTATGCTTTAATTTGTCCCATCTAAAATATGCAATTGAAATGCTTTCAAGCTAGTTTCAGTAGGGGAGACATGATGGATATTAAATTTCTTATTAAGGTTACTGCAAGCATTGAAATAATAGTATCCATAAAATATTGGACCTCTCTAACAAGTCAGCAAAGAGGGCGAAGGGTAAAGAAAAGACACTATTGGTGTAGAAGACCAATTAGTAGGATAGTGATGCCAATAGCAGAAGTCTCTTGCTATAGATTCTGTCATTGATAGCTAAATAGGAGCAAAAAGTACATCCATCCCCCATACCATCTTCACATTTTTCAGGGAAATTTGAATGCTTCCCAAGGCTTACGTTCTTTCATAATTGCAGCAGACTGATTCTGCACCCCTGGAAAAATTCTCTTGACACAACTGCTTTGCCTAGTTGTTTGTATCTGTTCAGTTGATCTTTAAATCTTTTTCCATGTAACAATTTGCTCCTGAAAAACTCTTTAAAGAGAATCTTTTTGCTTTTTTCAGAATCACATTAACAATGCATAGGCATAGTACTCATCATAGGTTACAATTACAAAATCTGTTGACTTTGTGTTTTACTTCTCCTACAGCTATAAAATAGTTCAAGCTATTCATGAGGTAAGAGATGACCTTGCTGAACTCTTTTAAGCTCCTGATTTTTGCTTCCAGCAGCAATTCACAAGAGAAAAGGAATATAGCCCTATCCTATTCAGAAACAGAAGCCATATGACTGCTATTCCACAAGGCTAATTGCAGTTCCGCCTATGACAATGTTATACATTCAAGATTCACAAAAGGAGTCCAGATTCCACCATCATCCTTCTGTGCTTTGGTACCTCCTCAGATATTGGTGCTGGCACTCCATGTGACACTAAATCACATTATATAAATAAACAAGATTGTTTAGGACAGGTGTGAGATGCTCCCTTTGTCCAGCTCACTCTATTAATTCCTCTCATGACCCTGCTCCAACTTTTGGCACCTTCATACTTGTGAACATTATTTAGAAGGCAAGATCAGTATGATAGAAAAGTATCATCCCTTTTATCCTTTCCTTATGGCCAACTTGCTTTCTTCTCTTGTTAAAGAGGCTTGCAAATTTGGAGAGCTCCATAAAACTGCTTTGTTAGAGAAGACAGTTTAAAGGAAAAAATGCAGATATGAAGGGAAATATGATGTGACTAAACACATTATTCTCACACATACACACACCCACAAGTCCCAAATCTCTGTATGAAGTTTCCTTTATTCCTAGTTGCTGATTAGAGTGCAGACTTTCTTTGGCCATCAATAAGAGATGAGCCAATACTACCGCATTTTGGCAAAGTGTGCTGGATTTGGCTCAACTCTAAATTTTGAGTAAAGGCAAATCTGTAGTTTAATGAGGCAAAGCAGGATCCCCAGGAAATAGCATAAAATCGGACCTCAGTGCTTTGTGAATGATTCAGTGTATCAAGGTGCTGCAAATAACAAACTACAAAAACATGGGGGTAGAAGGAGGAGATGGCAGAGGAATGCAATGATTTGTAACTCCAAATCTTTCTTCTACTTAAAAAACACTTTATTGGGAACTCTATACTTATCTCTTTTTCTTGCAGATAGACAGATGGCTCAGAATTCCTCTGAGCATCTTGGATAAGAAATATGTGATTGCAATGAATATATTTTGAAAGCTGATATATATATATTGTGAGATTCACCAAATTTATTCCATCATTATATTTTTAAATTAATTTTCAGGTTTGACAACACATCTTGAGAGTATATTGTATACATTATAGGTATCAGCTGAGAAATGTGCATTTAATTGTCCACATTTTTCAGATTTATCACTAATAATAATATTTTAAATTAATATGCCACCCAAGTCCCAGTGACTCTGGGTGGTTCATGCTACCTTTCGTCAATTTTGGAATAAGAATCTTAGAACTTAACTCCTCTTAGCTCCTCAATTTAGGAGATATTATTCACCCCACTGAAATCCTGGCTATTTGAATGGCTGTTTGCACAGGGATCAGATTCAACACTCATTTTTAATTTTGCAGGACACATACAGTATATAAAACATGTTTTCATGGTTACTTGTGAAAAGCTGATGCAATGGGATAATCTCAGTTTAAAAATAAACTTTAAACATGTGTAAAGTAGACCTGATACGAGGTTACTTTGGATCAACTTAAATCTAAGGAAGTCATTTTAATACACAGAATTTAAAAATTAGTTTCATTTATCCCAAAGTATTTATTGGCATTATAGTCAACGTAAGCTCTTGTTATTTGATTTATTCAGTAGAGATACAATTGCTGGGTTAGGTTAGAGGTTTTAGAGGAATTATCCATAGCTATGAAACCAGTAACCTTTTTTGAAGGAAGATGATATTATTTACTTAACCTTTGGAATAATGCTTGAAAACCCTATCCTCATAAGAAGTAAAGAGTTGCATTAAAAGTATAAAATTCATTTCTTGTTATCTTAAAATGGAGATTATAAAGCAATAAAAAAGTGCTTTTATGTATCCTGGATATTCCAGAGAACGTTTTTTAACAGTGGTTATAATCACTCTACTACTACAGATTAAATTGGAAGATGGAACATGATAGCCACCTCTTGCTATTTTGTCTCTCCTTTTCTTTACTGTACATTGGACACTTGTAATACCTTACCAGCTCATTGCTACCCTCCTCATCGAAATCTTCGTCTATCCCATCTGTCATTTCTTCTCCGTCCCCATCCAGCCCTCCTTCAATAGGCTCTTCTGTAGAGTTGTCAGCATTCTCTGATATGCATTCTTCTTGGATCAACTCTATACTGTCTTCTATTTGTTTCTTTTGGATTTCTGGAATATATAAAATTATCATATCATTCCCCTTGCATGGCATTTTCAGAATAAAGGACTACTCATATAATTTAGAGCATATTTATCAATTAAACCACAGAGTTAATTAATTTAATAGACATTGATTAAATAGAAGAGAGTAGACAATATGTTAGCATAGGGGCCATTCTCTATCATCTGGAGACAATGAAAGTTGAGATACCAAATGGATAATAGTTGCATGTTATATTCTAATGAATAGTGATAACAGACAAGCAGAGATGAGCTTTGGAGAAAAATTGTATAATATTCTAGTTAAATCCAGTCCAAGGGGAAATAATTCTGTTAACTGCCATGAGTAAATGGTTGGAAAGAAAACAAAATAGTACAAAAAAAGCTATTGAACAATTTGGTGACCTCAAGAATGACAATGGTGACTAAAGACTAACTTCTTAGAAAAGGTCTATTTTAAATATGTTCTATAAGCAAAGACTTATTCATTTGTATACATAATAAAGGGATATAATCCCAGCTTCACTTTCACATATTTACAGTTATACCTTAGAGCAATTTTTTTTTATTTTGGGAGATAGGATTGGAAAAGTTGACATTTTATTTGCTCTTAAATCTTTGTTTTAAAATTACTTTTTTATTTTGGAGTAATTCAAAAAATTTGAATAGCCATTGCAAACATAAAAAATAAAAATAAAGCCTTCTTGTTATCCATTACTGCTGTTGCTGTTGCTAATAGTGGCATTGATTTTTAAAGAGATACTGAATTAAAGATTTTAGTAAAGGATACATAAAGGTATCTTATTTAGTTTTAATTGTGAACTGTTTCATTTTTGGATATTTCTTTCATTCCTTCTCTAGTTCCATTTTATTTTATTCTGTTGAATTATTTAGCTAACTTGTTCCCATTTTTTTATTCAGCTGGACTACAGAACAGTTTTTTTGCGCTGTCTTGCAAAAAGTCCAACAGGGATTAATTCAAAAATGTACAAGACATCATATGCTTTCTTTCTTTTTCTTTTTTCTTTTGGTAAAGAAGGAATCACATTAACATTACATGCATGTCTAAGTAGATGTGAACTCCAGTGAATCAAAATTTAATCTCAAATAAGCAGAAGAAACAGCCAAATGTTTTGGAGAAACCCTACTGAAGGACTGGCCTGTCATGAAATCTTTTCTTCTTGACTCCGTCAGTTTCATGAATCTGTTTAAATATTGTCTCCTCTATTCAGCAGTAACACTCAATAAAAGTACAGTTTTCCTATGACCGTAGATTATAAATACATCCAATCTGGATTGGTTTCCAGGACCAGAGGTTTAGCCTTCCAAGCTGGAGTCTTTGGACTCATGCTGGAGCCCATCCCCAGTGAACTTCTCTCTTACCAGAACATTCTGGTGAGAGAGAAGTTCCCTGAGGATGGGCTCTGACACAAGTTCTTTGGTTCCAGTGACTGACTCAGATTGGATTCATCCTGGGACACGAATATTTGTCTTAATTCATATATTTACATTATTACACAATGTGAAAGGTATGTCTGTCTTTTCTTCCATTTCATTGGCATATTCCTTACAAACTTTAAAACATGCTATAAATTTTAATATAGCAAGTTTCAAAATAAATTGCTTTTGAATTTAACTTTAACTTGGTGGATCATGATAAGACTTTTTAAGGTTTTCTTTAATTTTAGGTGTACATCTAATCCTAAAATTGAGGAAAATTTAAAACACCTTAATTTAAACTCAAAATTTTAAACCTTAAACATCTTAAAGCTTTCCTGGTACCCACCCCCAACCTTGAATAACAATATAATTGATTTTACAGTGGATTAATTCATGTTTCAATGTGTTACAAAGAGTTATAGACAATTTTCTTCTACCTGATTGAGCTTTCTGCTGCTTTTCAATCTTTTCCAGTCTTCCTAACAAAGAATCAATTTTTGTTTTGATTTGCGTTAATTCCTTCTTGATTGTCTGCAATTCATCTGATTTCACTGAAAGGGAAAAAAGAATAGAATAGCAAAAATAAAATGATATAATATTATTTCTTTTAGGAGGAACACATCTTTTATTAATCAAAGAATCCACTGCTAATAAACAAACATTTTTGGGAGGGAGAAATGGCACCTATACAACTAATTATCCTTGGCTATTTTTAAAACTAAAGAAGTTAGTTCACAATGTATGTATGAACTCACATTTTGCTCCTGATGAAGAAGCTCCACTTGATGTAGACCTTGATGTTCCTTTCATGGAGAAGATTCCTTTTCCTCTGCGAGTTGCTGTGACTGTTACTCGTGGGCGTTTCAAAGGAATCACAGCACGAGGTGGGGCAGAAACCCGGCTGTGATAATCAAATAACCTTAAGAGAAATAGAAATAGTTTGGAATGTTCAATTGTAATTTTATATTAGGTAGGATTTTGCATATTAAATTCTGCTCTTTCTTATGAGAAAACTGACCTTTAATATCTCAAAAGGTTTAATCAGAGTTATATTAGATTTCAAGAGTTCATCAATAAGCATATTTATATTTCATTATAATCAATGTGTTGCTGTTTTTTTCCATGACAAACATCATTACTAAACTGTCTTTACTGTAATGTGAAAATTTTTCTCTACATAATTTTATTTCAGTCAACTAATTATGAAACTCTTAAAAGCAACTCCACCTTCCCTTGCAGATGTGTTTGGACTGCAATTCCCAGTATTCTCAGATATCATATACATATAAAGAGCATATAACTGAACTGAAACATCTTCACAAATAAACAGAAGTACTTCTAACTCATTAAAAGAAAGATAAGAACTTCAAGTATTTGGGAGAATGATAAATATCTTTCCTTGATACAGTCCCATTAACTTCTAACTAAATGTTAACTATTTATGGGAATGAAAAGCTTTCCTTGCACTAATCATCTTAGTTTTAAATATATGGTTGTCATTAGATAATTATTACAATTCTGTGCATACCTTCTTGGAACAAGTTAGATTTGCTTATGGGTAAACATGTCACCAAATGATCTACATATATATGATAAATCAACCAGAGATGCCAATACAGAAATAATGTATTTCTGATTTATAGTTTATGTGTTTGAAAAATTTTGCAATATATCTAAGTAGCCTGGCTTATATTTTTCCATAATGGTACTAATATTCTGTACTAATATTTATATGTACACAGATTTCCTATCAGTTTGGCTGAGTGGAAACCTTGTCCAAAAGGTAAAACAACAACAGCTGACAGCTTATTAAATTGAAAAAAACAGTTTTACATATAAATAACTAATTATAAGTATTTAATTTATTTAAGGATATTTAAACTTAACTATAATTTAGATTATTAAAAATGTACATCAACATATACCTGAAGCAAGCTTATCCTGTCATCTAAAAAGCCTTTCTCATAGACCCAGTTCAACTTTCTCACAATTCCTGATGATTTCCTGAGAAAATTAATGCTCTCTTTCTTCCCAACCTCTTATAATAAATAAAAAATGCAGTTTATATATCCAAAGGCAGGAACAAAGATACACATACCGATTGTAGAAATCATCTCTGTAATAATCATAATCAAAGACATAACCACTGCAAGAAGAGCAAAGAAAAGTCCCATGAAGAGATGAGGCAAATTATATTAGTTAATAATAATTTGTAAGACATGAATCACAATAAGGACTTATATCTCCGTTTGGTCTAATAGTTAAGGCACCAGGCTAGAAACCATGAGACTATGAGTTCTAATCCCATCCCAGTCATTAAAGCTTGCTGGGTGATTTTGGCCAAGTCATTTGCTCTCAACTCAGAATCAGAATACAGTTGGAAAAGACCTTGGAAGTGTTCTAGTACAGCCCCCTGCTCAAGGAGGAGACCCTATACCATTTCAGACAAGTGACTGTCCAGTCTCTTCTTAAAAACCTCTAGTGATGAAGCAGCTACAATGTCTGAAGGCACTGGTTAATTGCTCTTGCTGTTAGGAGGTTTCTTCTTAATTCCAGGTTGCTTCTCTCCTTGATTAGTTTCCATCCATTGTTTCTTGTCCTGCCCATTGGTGCTTTGAATAATAGACCCCCCTCCTGTTTATGTCAGCCTCTCAAATAACAGAATACTGCTATCATGTCCCCGCAGTCCTCCTTTTCTCTAAAAAAACCCCCAAGCTAATTGTATAAACTTCCAAAATGAAGCATTTTTTTTCTTTTGAAAAATCCTGTTGAATAACACATCCCCTTTCCTCTCTTTCTATGATAATGAAAATAGAAAATAAGAAAAATAAGGATGAAGTAGGTGAAAACATAAACTTGAAAACCAAGATGGTAATTTTTCTGAATCATAATAGAAAATGACTGTCCTATTGGTAGTAACTGAAGAGCATAATATGATGCATTATTTGCCTAATTCACATCCGTATGCAATTTACAGTCTACAGTTATTATATATAATAATAGACAGATGCAACCTCCTTATTGCTTATGGAGTGATTACTGCATTGAATTCTTTTAAATTTCAAAATGTTGAGTTCCTCAGATTATCACTATGTGGAATTGTCCCATTTATTTGTAGACAGGCTTCACAGCAACATTTACAGCAAATGTTGCCAAAATGATGTGCACCTGATGACATCAGCACACAAATGCCATAATTATATGCTTACAACTTGATGTCAGACAAGTATGCAAATCACAGCGTTTGTCTTCACATTTTCCAAGCCCTACAGATGTGTGTACTTTAATTCTAAACAAATTGGTTGCTGAATTTTCCATTCATTTTGTTTCAGCCTTAATCCATTCATGCAGCAGGAATTAGAATTTTATCTGTTCTTTTCCATACCAATTTTGCCCAAGTAGAGAACTTGTAGAAGAATGACTTGATTAAATTAAAATGTTTTTTTCTGATTTGCCCAACTATTGTTATTTTTTAAAATATGGAATAATCTTTTTTAAAATACATTCATTTTATACAGATTCAAGAGGAAGCTTCCTTTGACAAAGAAAAAGTTACTTAGAATAAATTTGCTTAAATGCACATACAGTAAGTTTACAAATATAATGACAATATTTTGTCTTTTCTATAGTACCAAGAAAATGGTATTTATCCCACCTCATCCACAGCAGTCATATCTTTTTAATTAAATTTCCTATCCTAAACTCTGGCAACCTTAAAATGATAAAATGAGAAATAACATAAGGATAGGCAAACAAGGATGGGAAAAAAAGTTCTAATATAGCCAGCCACTGGCTAACATGAATCTTTTCTCCTATTATTACTATAAAGCAAGGTAATATAATAATATTCAGGAAAGTCTCCTTTAAGTTGGGCTCAGCTCCTGGTGAGTTCAGAAACGCATCCATGCACCAAAGTGCTTTGTCACTGCCTTCTTCTAGGATGTTTCCTGTCTTCCTAGTCCAGGGGTAGGCAACCTTGGCTCTTTTATGACTCATGGACTTCAACTCCCAGAATTCCTGAGCCAGCATGGCTCAGCTTGGAAACCTCTCCCTTTCCCCTCAGCATGGCTGGCTCAGGAATTCTGGGAGTTGAAGTCCACAAGTCATAAAAGAGCCAAGGTTGCCTACCCCTGTCCTATTCTAACCTATACTCTTGGATTTCTTGGATTTCCACCCAAATGTTAACTAGTTCTGACCCAGTTCACCGTCTGTGCATGGACACAGTCAGGTACCTTTGCAGCCCAAACTTCTTTTGTTGCACTAGGATGACAAGCTTTTCTCTATTATCAATATACAAAACTGCCACAAAACTGTGTATCTTAAAATATTGTTTTATATTTAACTGAACTCTTCTGAATGATTTTTCTTAGCTGTGGACAAAATTCATAGACAATTCTGTGAAAAATGGATAGTGTCTACATCTGTTCTTCCAAAGATGGCTGGGCGTGAGGTGTTGTATGTAGAGTTGGGACATACAAGCAAGTTAGGGATTTTACTGGTGTAGCAATCTCCTGTTGCTTAGCTAGCTCCTTTTCTGAGCTTTTCAACCTTGTGCTGGACCAAGTGGTAACTCCCAGGCTCTGTATGTTGGTGGATTTCTACCCTCATAACTATGGGTTAGGAAGAAGACAGTTGGCATGGAGCTGCAATGAAGGGAGAAATGCAACAAGTAAAATCCAACGATGTGCAATCAGTCTTCCTTTTATATAATAGAACTTTTCTTTTCTTTCTTTCCCTGTGCCATTTCCAGTACTTACTCTATCTGCTCTGGATAGTCCCCAATTTCCTACTTTGCATGTAAAAGGACTATAGAGAGATGAACAAGTTATCTTAATGAAAAATGCTCTCTTAGGTAGACAAATTAATTGGACACAGTCCTACGTAACTCAACCAAAATATATATTTTTGATGAATTTGTTAAAAGTCATAAGAATCTTGATTATTTTTGCTGCCAATGATAAACAGCACTTAATCTGCAAAGCTAACAGTAGTTGTAATTAATCAACACATTATAAAGCAAAACATAATGATTCTTTCCAACCTAAGTAAAGTCTCATTTGTTTTGCACTATTTAGTTCTTGTACATCAGCGGCGCCCAACCTTTTGGGCACCAGGAACAAGTTCTGTCTACAGAGGTTTTTCGGTGGACCAGAGGGGGTGCGGTTTTGCGTGCTGCCTGCATTCCGCGGATGGGGCTTTACTTATTTGCACGGCCCTGTTGCTGGCATATCACAGACCAGTGCTGGTCCATGGACCAGGGGTTGGGGACTCCTGTTGTACATGATTAAATATTCACACAAAGGATTCCATGAATGTCAGAGACATGAAAACTATTAATTCATCTACAATCATGCAATGTATTGCTCACTATATTATTTTGCTCATGGTGAAGAGCTGCAATTATCTCAGCTTGAATTTTGCAGAATTGTGCATTTCTATTTCAAGCAGAGAAAAGATAATAATCTCATTCTACTACAGCATATAAACACTTTTAGGAAAACTCTGCATCCAGAGAAAATGGACCACCATCAAATGAAACCCATCAAGATTATAACTAGAAGTTTGAATCTGAAGTCAAAATAAAGCCTAAGGACGTCTAATGCAAAACTTGTTACAATCGAGAGAAAGAGAAAATAGAAATGGGCAACATTGACTACAATAATTTATAAAGCCTTTTATTCCTGGTGTAAAAAGTATGTCCCTGGCATCCCAATTTTCTGTTATACTTTAGGTTCTGGCTCCTTGAGTAAAGTTGGTGCTCCATGGGACTAGGACTAAGGAGAGGCTGGCACCTATCTGTGAAAGATGCTTGGTTACAACTTTTGAACATCCAGCCACAGGAAATTTAGGATTTCGCGAATGGAGGCTGCTATTGCAGAAGTTCTTTCCTCTAGACCAAACAGATAAATCAGTTTCTTCTTCCAAAGCATAAAGATTTCAGAAAAAGTTTGCACTGCAGGATTTCCATCATTTTGACCTCTGGGTCTTTGAGATTTTCTTTATCTTCATTTTCTATAGGTTTAAAATATGCTGCTGTGGGAACATCAACGGGCTTTTCAGCATGTCCAAGGCTTCTTGAGGCAAAGTATACAGTTTGGCAGCTTGTTTGTCACTCTTTGCTTCTCCTAACTGATTTTAAGGACTCGGTTTCTGAGAAATATAGGCATGATGGGAGGTTAGTAGATATCAGAAAAGCTCTGCCTCCAATAGGAAGCCCTGAGGGTCTTCAAAGGCTTAAGATCTTGGAGTTTGTAACATCTGAAAAGAAATTTCATGTTACAGGAAAGCAAGAATTATTCTGAAAACAATAGCTATTTGCTATTGCCTTTGCTCCTTGATAAAGTTTAATTACTTTAATCTAAATATATATATACATTGCTTACTGGTGTACACCGCTTAGAGAGTGCTTGCACTTAAAGCGGTATATAAGTCTCATAAATAAATAAATAAATACTTGGAGATGCAGTTTCTGGGAATTCCCAATCAAATTGGAAAATTAAAGTCTCAGATCAACTGGAGGGGTGCTATCTAATGACATAAAAGGTAAATGAATGTATTTATAAGAAAATTACATGAAGGATGCTTCAAAGTAGCAGCAGTTTTCCAAGAAATATGCCAATGTTTCTAAGAGCTGGCATAATCTAATTTTATTTCATATTGATGGCATTATTATTACTATAACCTCACATATTATATTGCTGTTTCTCCAAATGATATCTTCCTGATGTATTGGACAGTTCTCCCAATACAATTAATCATCTCTCCAGCCAACATGATAAAAAAAAATTATACTAGGTCTGCACTCAGCTGGAAGAACTGATGAGATATTATACAATGAATTTGCTGAAACTCCTAATCAACAGAATCTGAGCACTGTCTGAAAATCTGTAGTTTAGTGCATTACACTACTGGACAAGTCTTTTAAGCAAGATAGAGGCACGATTCTCTTGTGAAAACTTGTTATATTCTTTCCTGTTAGAGCCTTCCAATGATGTGTCCTCCAGATGTGTGGAATTTCGCATAAATCTTAGTTAGCAAGCATGACCTTTGGGAACTGAAATCCATTACATCTGGATAGCACTTGATTACAAAAAATTACTCTAAAATGACAATTCAATTCTCTTAGTGGTATAGGATTAAAGCTAAAACCCATTCAAAATGGAACACTGATTTCCAAATACACAAAAATGGACTAGTTTCATCCTGATGATGTACACTTTATAACTGAATCCTTAACAAGATATTTTTTTCACCCACAAGGTAAAGATGTCAACTTGGAGAAGGCTGATTTACATAATTAAAATTAAGCAGTATAAACATCTAAGTTGCAGATTCTTCTAGAACCATTTCATTCCAAAAATTGAAATGTCCATTTGATCACAATTATCTTGCTAAGGAAAGGAAAGAATAAAATTGGAAGTGGGGAAAATGTTTTTAACTTGTATGTTAGCTCATTTCAATCTAACATCTTTCCACAGCATCTGTTAAGTGTATCTGTCTGGCTGTTGTTTGTTCATTCTTAAGCATAGTTATTTTGAGGTATACATCAGAAGCAATTAAAATATATGTATAAACAAAAACCCTAGAAACCACCCACTCTACCTCTACTGGTAATTACAGACTTCCCATACCATTGACAGATTTGACAATCTGTTTTTTACAAAACTAAATTGGAAGATTATTTTTAGTGAGTTTTGGTCAGCTTTTCACTGAAAAGTTTGTTGTTCAGAAGATCATCTGCAAGAAAAGAGCTGTTATATGTATTAGGATTTCTGTCCAAGGAATGATGAGAATGCAGTTTCACAAAGATCCAGATTCCATATCCATAGACTATATAAAACCACTACAGGTAGGCCTCGACTTAAGACCAGTCATTTAGTGACTGTTCAAAGTTAACAATGGTGCTGAACTTATAATTGGCCCTTGCCAATTACTGCAGTGCCCCATCATCATGTGATTTGGCTGCTTGACAACCAGCATTTATTTATGATGGCTGCAGTATCCTGGAATCATATGATTGCCTTTTGTGGCCTTCCCAGCCGGCTTCTAATAAGCTAAGTTAATGGGGGAGGCCAAATTCACTTAACAACCACAGCAAAGGTAGTAAAATTAGGCACAGTTACAAAATGACTCACTTAACAACCACGCTGCTTAGAGATGGAAGTTCCAGTCCCAATTATCATAATAAGTCGAGGACTATCTGGTATTTATGTTATTTAGGTTGTGATAACAATACTGATAAATAATCAGGATCTCTGTTGATTCTTTGATATGCTATTCTTTAGACATGAAAGCAATTGGAAACAATACTATATCATTATTATGTATATAGGCACTCCAATTGGGACTTGAATTTTGATTATAAATCATGGTGGTTATAAGTCAAAGCCCTTGACTGGACCCAATTTTATTACTGTTTTTGTGGTGGTCATTAAGTGGATCAGTTGCAGCAACCACAATTTGCTGTCCCATGACCATGGAATGCTGCAACCAGTCATAAATGTGGGCTGGTTGCCAAACATCCAAAATGTGGACATCTGACTGTGGGGGGGGGCACATTTTACAATTGCTGTATGTATGTTTTATGGGTTGGTCATAAGTCAAGGACTACCTGTAACTGAACACTTCTGAAAAAGATAGTCTGCCTAAATTATATTTTTCTAATCATTACTGAAGATTCTCCAAAAGTAAACGAAATGCTACCACTATTCCTCTGAGTAGATGAATGCTACTGAAAGATATAATTATAGCTATTTTTTTCTAAAATTAAATCAAAATGTTCTTACTCACCCAACAGAAAGGAAAGGTTCTTTTGTTTCAAGTCTGTTAAATAAAATAATAAAAATAGTTAAATTTCCTGAAAAAATAATAATGCATGGCACAAGGTTTACACTGTATGCTGTAGTTACACAAGATAAAGACCTTATATTTTCCAGGATTCACGGTCTCACAAAGGCCCAGTATCCCAACAATCCAAGTTAACATTCTGGAATGTGTGAGTGCCTTTCCTCATTTCAGAACCATGATTTTGAAAGGAGCAGCTTGTATCTGGTCCCCTCACAAGATATAAATATTTTTTTTGCACTGCTTAGAGCTCTTGGAGCCTGGAGACCTTGACTATGACTATGGAGCTTCTCCTCATTCTTTCAATTTCCTCTCTTCCTTACAATCTCTTCACTGATAATTTTTTTCCATAAAATTATTTTCTTGTTATCATTGCTAGATCTGTCATTTCCCAGATCAGCTTCTCCAATCAGCAGATAGCCTTGGCTTGTCCATGGTGCCATCTCAGCTGCAGTTTGTGAAGTCCTTCCTTCCTTCCTTCCTTCCTTCCTTCCTTCCTTCCTTCCTTCCTTCCTTCCTTCCTTCCTTCCTTCCTTCCTTCCTTCCTTCCTTCCTTCCTTCCTCCCTCCCTCCCTCCCCTGAAGGACACTGCTTTTTTCTATGGAATTACAATTTAAAAGCTGCTTGCTAGCAGAGGTAGAAATAACTATTTCTGTTGACTTGTTCCCTATGACCAAGAAAATCCAGGATCCTGTCATTAATTTTGAAAGATACTTCGAAACAGTCTAATATTCTAATTTATCTCTCTGGGCTATTGTGAGGGTCAAAGAGATCTTGAACTCTTTGGTGGAAAATGAAATATAAGTAACTTTTCCTAGAGACAATCAAACCAACACTTTTAGAGATATATGATAAATGATAAGATTTCACTAGGTTGCTAATAAATGCAACTGGGTATGCATTTCCTTGGGAAAAAAAGAAGATATAGTTTATGTGTGATGGCCTTTGGATAAAACACTATAATTAAAAACTATTTGAAATCCATTCTTATGAAATGAGAATCAATTTGCTCAAAATATGGCTGCCCTTAGTCTGACCCTCTTTGAGTGTAAATGGTTTCAAGAGATTTGTAGTGATACAATAAATTATTTCAAAAAAATCTTAGGCAAGAGAGATTATCTATTGGCATTTCATTTAAATTGTTCTTTAAATTAATAATTTGGTGTTATGAAGCTAAAATAAAAATGTTGAAGTCAAATTGGTATATGAGAGTATATACTCTTAGGGTGATATTTATGCATGAAATATCCATGGTAACTCAGCAACACAACTTTCTCAGCATTCTTCATGAACAGCAATACTACATAATTTTCATGCTATTGTTACCCATCTCCCTTTTAATCTAGACCAGTGTTTCTCAACCTCAGAAACTTTAAGCTGTGTGGACTTCAACACCCAGAATTCCCAAGTAAGCATTAAAATTGGATTGAGAAACACTGCACTAAAGCATTAATTGCTAGACCCCGCTATAGATTTCTTTTGCTGTTTCTTTTGGAACCTGATCTATAGCTGCTTCTGGCCTCAAAACACATTTGCCTCTCCTCTTCTGGAGGAGAGAAATACATTCATTTGTTGTTTTAGCTTGGCTTGATTCAGATCTGATCTCTGACTTTTTCAATTAACCTTCAGACCTAAACTTGCAGGGCTCTGGCAGCATCACAGGATGATCTGTAGTACAGCAGAATTGGGCAGAAACTGTTGAGCTGGAATTTAACCATCAGTCCCTTCCCTGTTTTGTTGTCCTCTCCTTTAGCTATGTAAATGATCATCTTTATGAAGCAATTATATGCCATTCCTTCAGTTTGGAACAATAATAACTGATTTAATAAACATTTCAGTAATAACCATAAACTTAATTATATTGGCCAGCATCCCTGTTGTTATTTAGGGTATATGAGAAGACTGTATTGAAAAAATATCAGGAGAATTATACAAAAGCCTTATTTTATTTTTCCCTCCACTGGATGAATTAGGTTAGGGTATCTAAATTATCGATGCCAAATCCAATCTGTAAATCACATGGAAATGGATCCAGATATTCAATGTGTCTGGGGTGAACATCTGCTCAAGTACCTTTATTATTATTTTAGTGCAAAAGATTGGAGGGGTTACTTAGAATACAAAATCATGTGAAAGTTGATGAAATGATCTGATGCTAGGATGTTTATTGTGTTATAAGCTAACAGATGCATTCCTGAAAGTTTAATAGAATAGCTGCTTGGAAGACTCTTTTGAAATACCCCTGGCTACAGAGGCCCATTGGTCAGCAAAGGTCTTTGTATATTGTTTTAAACTGTAGAACTTTTTTTAATGTAAAATTGCATCAAAATAAATTGTTTCTGAGACTCAGTAACCCTGGGAGCTTTAAACAAATAGTACCTATACTAAAAGCAGTTGCCTAGAGACCCAAATAATTCATATGAGCTCTCAAATATTCTTTCTTCTAAAATGAAAAGTGCAAAAGAGAGGTCTAAAAGGTGAAAGAGGTAGCTACTAGCAGTTGGTCACTATTTCTTGCCTAGTTAGCAAGTTGTCTAACATGTCTATGCCACTCTTACTCATGAGTAGGTAAAATAAATAATAGCCTCCTATCAGGCAGTTCAAACTTATGTTGAATTGACCTATCTCATGAAATGTTTGGAGTGCAGAGTAACTAACTGAAATTGCATTGCTTCAAATATCTGAATGTGTGGCCGCAACTCTGATAAAACAAGATCCCCTATCGCACATAGAGATTTCACTCAGGTGACAAGAAGCTGAAGCTTTAGATAAGAGCCATGTTGGCACAGTGGTTAGAATGCAGTATTGTAGGCTAACTCTGTCCACTGCCAGGAATTCAATCCTATCTGGCTTAAGGTTTTACTCACCCTTCCATTCTTCTGGGGTCAGTAAAATAAGGACCCAGATTGTTGGGAGCAATATACTGACTTTGTAAACTGCTTAGAGAGGGCTGTAAATCACTAAGACGCAATATATAAGTCTGCTATTGCTATTATTTAATTTGTAAAACATATCTTTAATGCTTGAAATCAGCCAAACTCTAGGCAATTTGCAGAAATATCAATCTTATTGCTTAATAAAGGGCTAAGGAAATGGTGCCAGTGGGCATCCTGTATATATGATTTAGGTGGAGAAGTCCTGAAAAGGATGAAAAAAACATGGCAAGAGAGGTTTTGGATTGAAACCAAGCTGCAAGTTCTAAAAAAAAAAAAAGAGAGAGAATGCTAACAGTTGGCACCATTTATTTCTGGCAAGACTTCTCTGCCAAGGGGCATCCGAATGGTCAGATATTCAAGCAAGGGAGAATATTTTACCAAGAAACATTCACTAAAAACTTCAAAAACACTTCATAGGTTTGTTAATCAATCGGTCTTCTTACCTGTAGAGAGCAGAAAGTGGTCGCTTAGTTCCCAGCTTAGGTCTGTATGGTTTTGGCTCCCCTGCCATATTAATGTCTGAAAATAAGCATTAATCGAGAGAGATAGGGAGATCATATGTAATAATGTATAACATTGGCGGGAGTATTATAGGGACAAATTATCACTTCAGTTTCTCACACTCTATATTCTGATTTATGCATAGATCAGACCTTAAGATCTAGATCTTCAGGCCTAAAAAACAACATGATTTTTAGTTTCCAGGAGAAAGTGGTGCTACAGATATTTCATGTGACTGCCAACATTGTCATTTTTCTCAAAAGCACACACAAAATTCACTGCTAGAGACATATCTTTGATAAAACATTCAGAACAAACCTAATAGATAAGAGTCTCTATTTTTCACTTTATAAACAATGATATAAACTTTATATCATTAAATTGTAACTTTACCTGTCAATAACTTTGACCTAGAATTGTATGATTATTATTTTGTTTCCTTCTAATAGTTCTATTCAGACAAATATTTTTTGGCAAAGAGAAAATATTATCCTCAAATGGGAAGAAAGATAGAGAATTACACAAGGGAGAATAAGCACTGGCCACTTGCTTATAAAAAGTCACAGCATAATAAATCACCCATAATAATTTTCTTACAAGCAGGAATTTTAAAGGGAGTTCTCTTAACTACCTTCCCAAAATTAACAAATGGACTATAATATTAGTTTCTCTGATATTATTTTAACCATAGGTTTCTATAATTATTTATTATTTTTTTAAAAAAGGGGAAGAATAAAAAAATAAAGAGATGGAGATGATGCATAATTTCCTTCTATGTCATTTTGAATAGTGAGATGGACAGCACAAAAATAAATAAATAAATAAATAAATATTAGAAACATTCCTTTCAACTAATATTTGTTGAGTTTGTGGTTGCATTTTCAGGTTCCTTTATAACTTGGGACAGTATATGATTTCACATGAGCCTAATTAATAAGTTATATATAAGTTAATATATATTACCATGTGAAGAGTTTAAATTGGTTGTTTATATTTACTATTGTTACAACAGTAATTGTTACAAATGGAACTTTATACTGAAAAACTCTAAGAAAACTTTTTCATCAATGCAGAAGTACCCAGATTAATGGGTGTTCCTCTACTGGCTGATGATATGAAGAAAGAGACAAAGGGATTACTAGATGAACAAAACAATTAGTTTCCTTGGCTATTATGAATGTCACATTCCTATGCAACAATAACTTGGAAAAGATTTAAATAACAGATTTAAATCAGCACGGTTAGGTCAAGTCAGGAAAAGGTAGATAGTATCTTAACTCAATAGTGATAAGACCTTTCCAATCTCATTTGCTGCAGTTTCTAGACCTTAGAACAGTGATGGCGAACCCATGGCACGGGTGTCAGAGGCGGCATTCAGAGCCCTCTCTGTGGGCACACACATCATCACTGGGTTTTATAAAACCTTTTCACTTTAGGCCTCCACCGCCGTGTACAAGAAAACAAAAAGATTCAACCAGTCAATTTCAACTTCTCGTGAAAAAAAAAAGATCTTGCAAAGTTGGAATTGATTGATTGAACTTTTTAGTCCCACCCAGTCTGTTACCATTGCAGCCATGCCCAGCCAATGGGCCACACCCACCCGGCACTTGACAATGCATAAGTGGGTTTTGGGTTGCAGTTTGGGCACTCAGTCTCTAAAAGGTTCACCATCACTGCCTTAGAAGATTGAGACTTCATTTATATCCTCCAACAAACATGAATCTGAGTCTTTATTCAGCTTTCTGTATAGATTTATTCTTTGTGTACTGTATAAGAACTCTAATGTTTTGATTCTCATTACAAGTCACTAGGAAACATTGGCGGACAGTAAGAGATTGCTATATTTAAATTTGTTCTTGCACTCACTGTTCTAAAAGAAAATGTATCATTTGAATTTTCTCCTTCTGAACTTCTTCATTTTTCATTTATCTACCTCCAATTTATCTGGTTTTGATTCTTCACATTTCTATGCAAGCCATGGTTAAGATATAAAACCACTTTACATATTAGTTATTGTTATCCCTGAAATAAGAGGCTTAGTCTTCTTCTGTTGGACCAATGTCCTAATTTGCACTACATAAGATATTGCTGTATATTATTATCTACTGATTGACATCCTCAGTTGCCAGTTTGTTTGTCTTTGATATGCCCGGTTTAGATAGTTTTTAATTTGGTTGCAAACTGCCCAAAGTCATTTGTGAGTTGGGTGGGCATACAAGTTGAATAAATTAATAATGTAGAACTTTGTATTTTGTATTGTATATTCTGATTTGTGGATTGAAAAGTTGGACTTAAGAAAAATGTTGGTATGATTTCTAAATAGAGAACTAACATTTGATTTCTAAAAGACATTTTGCCTCATCAAAATATGCTTTTTAAAAATTATGTGGGGGATTTGTTTGACTAAAGCCACACAGTTATGAGATTTTTGCAGGGTAATTTTAATTAGCCATATGATACACTGCATTTTTAAAATAAATTTGTTACAAAAGGTTAAACCTTCTTCTCAGATATATCTGAAAGGATTTTAAAACTATGTCGTTAAAATTTTTTTAAAAAAATCTCATAATTCTCTCAATATTACAAGAAATGATAGCGGAATGTTTTTACCTGCGTAAGTCATATATATGGAATTTGTGTATCATAATTACAATGGAAATTTCATCCAGTGACCTTTTATTATAATTGGGCCCTTCCACAGATTTTTAAGATGGCAGTTTTAAGGTCACTGATTTTCAGTATACAAACTTATAGCTCAGTAATATGTTGGAGACATGCAATATTTATGAAATTGGAAGAAAAACTACTTTAGGCATAGCATTAAATTTTATATTTTTCTTCATATCAATCATTCTTTTCCAGTAAATATTTGATTATATTTTTCTATATACTTAGGCATTAAGGATTTACATTAAGGATTTCCCAGAATTCACCAGTCTTCTGGAAAACATGAAAACTTCATTTTCTCCCTACTTTTGATAGCTCAATACGAGGCAAACTGCTAATAGATTTCATAATATTTTTGATTTTATTCCTGAATTAGTCAAATAAAATTTAACAATTGACCTCACCAGATGAGTGGTTGAGAAACACTGCCATTGAGAACATTTTAAAAAATATAATGAGGCTGAAAATCGAGAGCTGTTTTTAGAGATGTTTAAAATTAAAACTATTTTATCAACACCACTACCATTCTTTTGAAGTGTAGAAGGCCAACAAGACCTATGGTACATCTCCACAAAAAATATGGAACGTATAGTTGATGCCTGGAGTTTTGGTCAGTGACAATGCCTTCTTTTTGTGTCTTTATTTCAACTGTCACAAAATTTGGGCATGTGGCACAACAAAGCTTCAGTCATGCTGATTTCTTGAGAGCCTCTCATCTTTGTTCTCTAATGTATTTAATTCCTGTTCTTTTTTTGTTTTGTTTTGTTTTGTTTTTACAATGATGACTCCATACAGTTCTATGACTGCTCTCCAGTTTTAACAATGCTACTAACACCTGAGTTTGGAATAAACTGAGTGTTGGCCTACCATTGTGGTGTTAAATTCTTTTAAGAAGGAAATATTCTACAGTTTGCATCATGGACTGGAGTGTGTGTTTCTGCATGATATGAAATAAAACAATATATGTAATCCTTTTATACCCAAATACTTCAAAATAATTGGTTTTTAATTGCTTTGTTGTACTGATATTTTTGTGGATTTTTATTACCTGTATTTAAAAGAATACTATTGGACTATTTGGCCAAATATTTATGTATTATTTCTCTAATTATCGATAACCTTCCAACTCCTATCAGAAAGAACATTAAAATATATTCCAGAAATAAGAAAAAAATCAAACAAACAATGCAAACATCAAGCAATTCCTCATTTAATTGGCAGATATGATTTGGTGCAACACAGATACAAAACATTTAATCTTACATAAAGTTATGGACCATCATTGTGGGCATTCTTTTTTAATGTATATGAATGCTCTCACCATACTGAAACTAACTTTAACTAATACTATACTTACTGCAGATTGCCTGCTTTGGGGACCTTTCAATTTTTGCACCATGTAACTTAACTTGAATTAAAGATGTACATATTCTGGTAAAACAGATATTTGCTTTTGAAATAATAAATAATAAAAAAATATCAGATTAACTTCCACAGTATTTCTGATATCCGTGTGACAGAACTGCATGAATTTTCCACTGAAATCTTAAGAGCTTAAATTGTTATTACAATTTGATTAACAGGTTCCAATTTGAAAATTTAGAAAATAGAAATATTCAGTTATAAATCTGTAGTAATCAATAATTATTTTATGAATTGTAAGCCATTGATTTATATATTGTATTTGGATCTTTTTACTGTCTCAATACACAGTAAATGTCTGGCAATACTGGAAGACCAGATGGCCTGAACTCTTTTTACTACTTATTATTCCACCCAAAAAAAGGTTTGCACAAAATACATCTAAATTATCCCAGTATTTCAAGCTGTGATCCATAATTTCAACTGCAAATTTAGCTTCTGAGAATTCTCTACTGAAATATTAAAGAAAAGTCATTTCCCATAACTGACTATATATACCAGACAGGGAGATATCAAGTTCCATGAAACTATTTTGCTTTTATTAGACCTTAAATATGTGCCATTTAAAGTCAATAGCTTAAGGAGTGGAAGCACTGAGGCCAGGAATTCATTGAGCATATATTTAGCTCAAGGATATTATTTTCATCACCAGAATTGCCCTTTTACATGGAAAACTCATGCCTGCCTTTCTCATTAAAAAAAGACACAATGAGAATAATAAATTATCCTATTAAATCTTTAAGAAGTGACTATGTCTTAGTGATCTACAGCAACTCATAGTAATACTCACAAATTCTCTCTAAATTCTGCTCATTCTTGGAAAATACCTCTGTCACCTCAATCTAGTTACTAAATGTTATCTGTGCTTAACTGGAGAAAATAATACATTATGCAAGGAAAATGAAAAGAATGAAGATTTTATCTGAAAT